TATGTGTGTCTTCATCAATCTTTTGCAGCAAAACAGAATCATGGTATGAAACATCTGATATTCTTTGATTTTCTCTATAATTCTTCAATTTCCTGATTTTTCTACTTCTGTTGTGTGTGTTTTTCTTTTTCATCTTTCATTAATTATTCATTCAGTATCAAGTTTTTGCATCTGCTGCTTACACATTCTTTTCAAGTCTGCATATGAGATCTTTTTCTTGTTTATTTGCTTCATTTGACAAATTATCAGTTGTCACAGTCAATTTGATTCATTAATTTGTTAACATATACTTGTGTTCTAGAGTGCATCTCTATATTCTGTCTTAACTGATACTGAAAACTGCAACTTGCAAACTGAGTTCTGTGAGTTTATTTCTATGATACAATTGAAAAGAAGTGCAGAGATATGATACACTTTCAGAGTAAACTTGTTATATGAGATACTGATTTATTTTTCTACAGATATTTGATTCATTTATATCTCTACTGAGACACACATACACACACACACGCACACACACATATACATATACATATGCACACACACGCGCGCACACACACACATAATGAGAATTAAATCTCTCTGGTGAAACTCTTTGCAGTGATTCTTCAGTTTCAGTTGAACAATCATAATAGTCAACAAAAGTGACACAGTTTATGATCAAACAAACTCTCCTCTGGTCTAGGCTACTGATGTGATGACTGACCCATCTCTGCCGGACGGCAACAAACAAGAGAACCCATCCAACCGATCAACAAGTATGGATCAACAGGAAGCTCATTCTAACCCGGATCGGGGTTCGTTGCCGGGTGAAGTCCAAGGTGAAATGGCAGCTTTCTCACCAGATGGTGACTCCAGAAGTTTGAACGGCCCTGTTTCCTTATCTAGCCTACCTCATAGCTTGAATTCCCCTCTCAGACCGACGGACCACGACACTCACGAAGTTTCCTATAGCTTAGATCAAGCGTTGTCCTCTCCTTTTGCCCCCCAGCAAGGGCCCCAACAAGCCACTTCTGATTCCCAAACATCAGGTTCTCAGCCGGATCAGCTTTCTACTTCTAGCCAAACATCCCCTCTATTAGATTCATTTTCTCCGCCTGCTGGCATCGAAAATGAGACTGCAGATGATATATTTCCTGTTTCTAGCGTTACTAATGCTGCGGGTCAACCGATTTTCAGTTTGCAAATTGGCACGGCATCCTTCTTCACAGAGGAAGGCGACTCGATGGTCTCTGCTTCCATTACTCATCTCACCAACGGGAGTACCGGCCCAATATACCCAGAAGACTTTCCTCACGCTTTAGAAAGCACTGATGATGATGAAATGGATTCCCTCAGCGGCGACCAAGACTTGCATTATGATTACGGTTATTATGACGACGAGGAGAACCCGGCTTTCCGCAGTAACCTCATTGAAGAGTCTGAACTATCCCGTTTCTCCGATGACAGATTGCCCGGGGTGTCTTCTGCTTTGGGCAGCACAGGAAGTGTGTACGATGACTCTTGTTCGGAAAACGATACCGAGAAATTTTACATAACCGACGATGAATTATCCTGGTGTGATCCTACTGAATACAGCAACACACGGTCTCCCCTTGGCAACGATTTACACGATAGCGGATCTCATCAAGACCAGCTTCCAACCTTTGCTACCGGTGGACATTCTCAACCTCTATCGTTTACGACCTTCGACAATATTAACGGCTCAAATTTTACCTTTAATCCCGAGGCGGATGATGACGATAACCTCGATTTAGGAGCGTTTACACAACCAGAAAGTATGAATTTACATTTTATTAGCCCGCCTTCTACATTGTTTCTTCCGGTAAATCTACAGGCTCTTGGAAAGGCCCAACGAATCATCCATCGTGCGTTTGATCACACGAAATCTTTTGAATATTCATCTGGACCCTTTGTCAACCAGCCACGAGAACTTTACCCCAATGCTGACAGCATCATGTTGCAAGCCGTGTCAAATTTCTTTTCTCAATTTTCCATTCTTGCAACCCCCTCTAAAGGAATTTTCTTATTTCGTGGTACCCATAACGCGCTTTTCGTCAATGACACTACAATCACTTTCCTTTCTGGCCTTGAGATGACGGACACCTTCTTGAAGTCTCATGATCATACCCAAGATTCTCCACACTTTGTGTTCTGTCAATCTCTTCCCTGGCCAAGGATTTCAGCCTGTCCTCAAGTCACTCCACCCAATCAGAGAATGACTGCAGTTACACCCCCTGGTGGCCTTTTAACTGAGGATCAGTACACTTACATACATGGCCCTTCCGAACAGTCAATATACTTTGTCCCTCCATCATTGGTTTTAAAATATTTCAATTCCCATATTGCCAGCGTGCTTCTTGCTGCGCCTCTCGCTCCATGCGAAGGCCATACATACACACTTGCTGACGGTCTTGAATTTCCAGCTTTCGAAAAGAACCTTTCAATCGATATGTTCATTAAGCAATGGCTTATTCGATCCAAAATACCGCCCCAGCAGCTTGCACTGAAGGATCGACCTCATGTTCCAATATCGGATGCAGCTGCGAACGCCTCGTATTGGCCACGACCCCAAAGGATAACGCGCCCCGAAAACCACCAATTCAAGGCCTACGATATCCAGAAAATTCCTTGGCAGAAAAAGATGAATGTCCGGAGGTCGGATGCCAGGATCCTTCGCGATAGCTGGTACAAGGGTTACCGGAATTTGGTGTTCGATCCACATGGGGTAAATTTCAATATCGCTTCGCTCTTGTTTGGGAAAAATGACTAAGCTATGATTTAGTATTCGAAGCGGCTACCACAGACAGAGGAATTCTTCAAGGCAAAAACCATGTATACCAAATATAAAGCGTCAATGTCGCATTTTCAGCTGCGTAATCTTATGTCCGTGACATCGTCGAATACGGTGCAATATGCCCATCGGTCAAAGATTTACTCTGTAACCCCGTTTCACAAACAAAAGAATTGCCTAATTGATCTCTCTCATACTTCCAAGTCCGCGACTTTCTTTGAGCCAGTGAGAATTTCGATTATGAAAGCCAAGCACGGCGTAACTATAGTTGGGGGGTTCTGTGGCGAATATGCGATGAGAGGCGACGTGACTGATCACAGTACTGTGGATGGTTATATCACTAAAAGCCAGAACGGAATCACAAATCATATCGATATTGCTAAGCATCGAACGAGTCGTAGCCCTCAGGCAATTATCGCGTCGAATGATCAATATCTTCGAGTCCTCGACTGTGAGACCAACAAAGTTGTCCAGCGCCACAAGTTTGCTCGGGCAATTAACTGCACCGACACATCACTAGATGGCCGATTGCGTGTTATAGTCGGCGATGCGAGGGAGGCGTGGATAATCGATAGCGAATGTGGGAAACCGGTTCAACCACTATCCGGCCATCAAGATTTTGGATTCGCATGCGCTTGGTCACCTGATATGCTTCACGTTGCAACTAGTAATCAGGATGGAACAGTCAACATCTGGGATGCTCGTATGTGGCGAATACTTCAATTCATTGAGTCTGATGTAGCGGGGTACCGGTCGTTGCGATATTCTCCTGTCGGAGGTGGCCCACGCACGCTTCTCATGTGCGAACCAGCCGACCGCATCGCAATAGTCAACGCGCAAACATACCAAACTCGTCAAGTACATGATTTCTTTGGCGAAATTGGCGGAGCTGACTACACTCCTGATGGCGGCCGGATCTGGGTCGCTAATATGGATTATGCATTTGGCGGATTGATGGAATTCGATCGATGCCAGTGGGGTCAGGAGTTTGGCATCGGGCGAACGAGGAAGCGACATATAGAGGAGCGCCTTGATACTTACTACCCCGATTTGCCTAACGAATGGCTTCCCGAAGCGGATTTGGATGACGACGAAAGATGTGTGCTCGGACCTGGAGAGAGAAAGTTACGCTACAGGCGCTTGATGAGCAACCGAGAACATGCCGACCTCCTTCGCCTATGATTACACAGCCTTTTCTAAAGCATGTTTCTTTGCATAGTTTTGCGTGCTTTCTTCCCCATTGATCGTGGTATTCACTCATTCATTTCTTGCTTATTGCCTGTATAGCCCCGCTTGTAGTGCGTTGCAAGCGCGCGATCCTTTCCCCCCTTCTCTTTTCTTTCCCTTCCTCGCGAGTACATTGACAGAATTGCCTTTTATTCCTGGATCACTACTCTTTTTTGCTCTACTCCGGTCTCATAGGGTTCATCTATTGGAGTAATTCAGGCTTGGTAATCATCACCAATTTCCTGCATTGCCTTTAAAATTTCTCCTTTTCTCCCCACTTTTTTTCTGTTTTCCTGCCTTCACTTTTTTTCACGCATATGGTGTTATGTTGGAGTAAAACCCCGGTTTGGGAAAATTATGATTGGCATTTTTTATTTTCAATCTATTTGTGCATTTGTATTTCCTCCTCCTTGTTGTTTCTTATTTCGACTTAATTGGTTGAGGTGGCCACCGGACCCTGTTCCAGCCGTATGGTGGTGACTCGAGATACCTGGAAACTGATTTCTTTCTTTTCTTTTCTTTTCTTTTTTGTTTTTGTCTTCCTGGACTGTTAAGAGAGATGGATAAATAAAAAAGGCGCAGGCCAAGATTACGGCGAATTGGTGTATGGAAAAAGGCATGGTTGGGAATACTGGGTCTGGATTTGGGAATTTTGTTTGAGTAATTAACAAAGCACATTCTCTTCCTCTTTGCTTTTTTTTTTTACTTTTTACTTTTTGTTTTTGACGTTAATTCTCATGCTGTCGCTTCTTTGCTTTATTTTCTTTCCTTTTTATTTGTCTATCTCCTTTCTTCTTTCAAACGTCTTTTGCAATTTATTTTATCCGCATATGGTTCCTACATTTTTTCCCCTTTCTCTCTGAAGCAGGGCGTTATTGTGAGTGCAAATGAGAGACCAAGTTAGTAATTGGGCAGTTGGGAAAGATGGTTTAATACGGTTTTAAGAGCAGTTTCATGATAGCAGGAGTGATGGCATGGCATGGGCGTGATCTGCGTTGATGTTTGTTTTGCTAGCTTTTGAAAACTTAGTTAAAATCAAACATCTTGTTTCATTAACTGAGTATCTGAGGACTGAGAATGGCTGATGCAATCCCCCCTCCCCTTCCCCTTCTTTTTCAGCAGATGAGGAGTTTATCGTAAATGGCTCAATCGGAATTGATAACAGTACAATTGTACAGCACATCAGGGAAAGCAGGTGAAAGAATTAGTTAGGTGGAGGAGCGCCAGATGATTAGCTCGCCACTTGAGTGTCCTCGATGGTAGCAGATGACACATCTCTACCTTACTCCGTATCTAAGGAATGTGTATCTATGTTTTAAAATGTCAGCAGTAAAAACTATAAAGGGTTCAGTGACATTGGCTTGCAGAAATACATCGAAGTTATCAAGGGACAATGAGAGTTTGAGAAATTAAAAAGCGAGAAAAGGTAGTAACGGTTTCAAACAAAGCATATACTCCTACAACCCCTGACGTTGAATGTCGCACTTGGCATTCCTTGATCGTCTCTAGACTCCCACCTTCCACCATTCCCCTGTCTCCCGTGGACAGCCCTCATATCCCTCCTCGCCAGTAAATACGTCAATCTCATACAAAGATCGATCCTCAAGACATGTGCACGTATAGCAAGTACTTAACCTGAATCTGGGCTACATCGTAAACGATATACTCGTTATACAGCAACCAAGCATCCGTAAGATCCAGCGTCTTCGGCGGTGAGGAAAGATCCGGCATAAGAACCCCCTTCAGATTCTCGCTCACACAACCCGCATCTTTCCATCCCCGCGGTACCGTCAGGCCTTTGCCCAGCGTCGACAGGCATCCCTGCTTCTTCGCATTCTCGCCCGCATCGTAGTCGCTGTTGACAAGTTCTAGCATCGGGTTGCCCAACTCGACATCGCACAACATCAGCACACCGATTCTGTCGCTGCTGTGCGCGCAGCAGTAGTTGGCAGATTTGCTGGAGATGTCGGCGAAGTAAACCCCCTTGCCGAACATGTAGCCTGTTACTGGGGCTTCGGGCGGTGCGATTCTTAGACCTTGGCTGAGGATGCCTCCGTAGTTAGTGCTGCGGGAACCGTGCCAGAGGAGACGACGGTTGCTGTTTGGTAAGTTTGCGAATGGAGAGCTTTCGAAGCGCTGCTTTTCACCACGGCGTTCGACGCGGAAAATATGTTTCAGCTAATAATTTGTTAGTTTCGGGATATTTTTTTTTTTTTTTTTGAAGGGGGGATTCATCCTCTCTGGGGATTGGGACTTAAGAGGGAGACTTTACATTGTAGCTGATATAGTGACTCTTGCCATGAGACTTCACGAGGTAGTTTTCTAATTCCTTGTATTCGGTTGTAGCTGACTCCACTGAATGATCAAACGAATTGTTAGCACTGTGACCCTGGAAGGGAAGTAAGAAACGGTCTTCGAGTACGCACGTGGTGTCATTTCCTCCAGCCCAAGGCCTGCAAATTGAACATCGAGAGGATGAAGACCAGTTTTGGACATCTTGGCACCCTTCAGGATCTCGTTGGCGATCTCCATATCGGTCAAAGTTTCGAGAAGTTCGACTTCACGCTTGATAAGGTCAAGAGTGCCGATAACAGGAGGTCGACGACGTCCGAAATCGTGAGGAATGAGGGTAAAATATTGGTTACTCAGATCCTCCGTGAGCTGCCCATACGGCTGACCATAGTTTTGCATGGCAAGTGATGGGTTTGCAACTAATTCTGAAAGATTCTTCAGAACCTCAAACCCCGCCATGAGAATCCGTTTGCTTAACTTTCCTAATGGTAGTTTATTTGCGTCGTATGACATGCTAGCCATGGTTGAGAGCATGTGCCTCTGGTTAAAGATAAGACTAACAAACTCCTGAACGGGCTGCGACAATGTGCATTCAGGCATCTTCACATCTTCCTCGACTTCCTTCTTAGCTTTCTTTTCACTTTTGCCGTTGTCTTCTGAATCGTCCTCATAATTCCTTTCAAGATAGGTATATTTTCCAGCTCTTGGGCTACTGAGTCGGTTACTCCAGGAAAGGCCAGTCTTGCTGCTGAATTTCTTGGCAAACACATCATGCGCTTGGTCTAGAGTCAGTCCGGGGAACTCAGCTTTTTGTCCAATTTCGCCAACTCGACCCCACCGCGTCCACGTCGTATATTTCCCAGAAGTTTTGTTTACTAGCAGCTGAATGAGATAAAATTTGTTGTTGTTGTTCCTGGAATTGGTTTGGTTCAATGCTGCGTCATAAATGACTCCATTCTTTTCAATAAATACCTCATGAGTTGCTAAGTGGAACGTCAGTCTACCTATTTCATGAAGCATGGGTGCACGTCCTGGATTAGAATGGTACTTACAGCAGTATGGTGAAAATTCATCAACTGGAACCTTTAACGTTGGAGATGCCTGCTTGGAATCCTTTTTCTTCTTCGCTGGGGGTTCGTCCTGGGACTTGGGTTTGGTGGCATTATCCTCCTCCTCCTCATCATCATCATCCGCCGGTATAGGACGTTTGGCCTTTGAGCTGGCTGCTGATTTCTTGCCTTTGGAAGGTGCTGCGTTTGCGGCTGGCACATCATTCTCATCATCGTCCTGGCTAACAGTGGTGGAACCATTAGACTGCTGTTTGGTTCTGGATAATCTCAGAGGCCTGCCATTGGTGGCTGGCACATCATTCTTATCATCGTCCTGGATACCATTGGTCGTGGAACCATTAGACTGCTGTTTGGTTCTGGATGATCTCAGAGGCCTGCCATTGGTGGCTGGCGTCGGTGCTGGGGTTGTCAAGAGATAGGAAGATTCTGAAGCTGGTTTGCCATCTGCTGCTGAATCTAGAAGCCAGTTCCAGGACACAATTTTTATACTTTTGAGCGCAGCAGCTTGTTTACCTGATGTATCGTTAGCAACATGCAATGTACCAATTACCGCGTATAGGCTAAATCTTCCTAGACGTAGAACGACAACTGAAGGATTGGAAAGTAAATAAGAAAGGGGTTCAATTTTCCTTACACTTTAGCTTATTGTCATCTACGTCCTTTTGAGTGGTCACAAGATGTGTACATGTATCAATGACCTTTGCACTATAGGTGCCACCGCCAGACTCAATTTTGTCTATAAGAACGGCTATAGGCGACAGGTTAGCATGTTCAAGTGCAAAAGACCAGGTCACGATCGTTTCTTTCCGTTTTCTCTATTTCTGCATTGATTTATTTCATTTTGTTGCTCCGTTTTCAAATAACACACCTTGTTTATGCATTGGGAATGTGCCACTGAGGGCTATGATGTGGTCTTTGAAAGTGGTCGCCATTTTCATGAGGCTTACGAGACAATATAGGGAAACAAGATGGGCAGCAATTGAAACAAAATCCAACAGAGTCGTAGGAAGGGGTTATTTTAAAGAATGAATGGTTGTCTTCCACAGGGTCGCCCGATGGCCCTTTTAAACAACCCTTGAGGAATACCTTTGGGCAGTCTCTTCCTTTTTTTTGAGCTGGTGCTGGCTGTCATGTTTGGACGCTAGCACAGGCGGCAGCACCGCAGTGATTGGCTGCAGCAAACAAAGCCCCCCCTGATCTATCGGCGCTGGTGGCCGCACACTCCGAGGTCTTCACACAGGGACAAAGCTACTGTGGCGCCCGCACATCAACTGGCTCCAACCAAGCAGGAGAGGAGCTTCCACGGTTCCGGTTTCAGCACAGCAGTGGGTGGCGCCAAGGCAGGACTATCGAGAATCAATAATAATATTGATATTAAATGTTCTGCTGTTGTTGCAAACACGACCGACCAGAGTCGAGATGTTTTTCCAGTTACGTTACTATCTAGAGGCTGAAACGACAAGGCAACAACGCGCCGCGATTGGTTGAGCTTCACGTGATCTTCAGGGCCAATGTGGATCCACGTGATATCGCGCCGGGCATAGCTCGATGTCTGCCTAAGGAAAAACCCACCACGACATCAAATAGTTCTAAACTATGGTTTCTATATTCAATCTTCTCTACGTCGTGGAAAGTAAAATCCATTCCCTCACCAGTTATCCTGAAATTGGTCCGTCATCCGGCGCTGTGGCCTGAAATTTTCTTCTTAGGCTTATCATATCTCACTATGTTCCTTGAACAAGATGACGCTGGAAAACCGGGGAAGCCTTCGGGCCTCTGTGACCACCAGAAAGACTTTTGACTCCAATCATGCCTTCGATTCAACTGCTTTGATGGCGTCCTTACAACTGGAGAGAGAAAAAGCATACTTACACAGTAAACCTATATCGCTGAACTCAGGACTACTCTGAGAAGAGAAGACGCTCAGGAAACATAAATACATATATATGTACATACATATACACAAACAATCTGGCTCTAAATGAGAACAGTACGAGGAAGGTGAAAGCTCTGCCGAATAGAGATGTGCCGACTGCTACTTCTCCAAAGCAAAAAGACAGCGCTCAAACCACCAAACCGTTTCATCATATCCCCAGCAACTCTTCATTTCTACTAAGCCTAGCGCTTTTTTCTATTCCGGGGCTTCTTTCTCGTTTTTGGAGGAGTAGGAGACGTCGAAATTGAATGGAATTCCTCCTTGTCCTCATCCAAAGACCCCTCTTGTTGCGGCTGCTCTGTAGGTGTACCAAATTCAGCTTCGTCTGTGGATTCGGTTCCCCCACCAGATCGTTCCTCTACTATGGGCTCCGCACCTTTTAGGGATGCATCCTCGACTGTGTCCTCTTCTTTAGTCTGCATCTCTGTCAAATTTTTATCCGAGTCTTCCTCTGCGAATGTGCTTTCTTGTAATACGTCTTCCAACTGAATACCTCCCTTGGTGGACGATTCTTCTTGCTCTGCGCATTTTATTTCTTTGGTAATTGCAGGTTTCTTAAATGTATCTTGAATCGAATCACATTTATTCAAGGAGTCATCGTCTACACTTGATGCTCCCTCTCCAACGGAGCCAGGTTTCGTACATTTGCCATCATCATTGCTGTTGCCATGTACTTCATCTTTATCAACATCCTCATATCTTTCAATTTGGGATTCTGCTTCTCTTTCTGATGTCCTAGAACTAGACCCGCTGACTAGCGAGATACGGGCAGTATTCCGAGGCGGCAACGGGGGAGGTATGGGTTTGGCAATGGTAACGAGGCGAGCACGGGTGAAAGTCGGGCTGGTAGGGCGAGCTTGGCTCGTGTCCCCAGGGAGAGATTGATCCTGGATAACGAGGGATCCTCGCGTTATGGAGGTGGTGTTTTCTTGCAAAGGCGTTGTGCATTGGGTTCTAGTGGAGTTATCCCTGTCCGAGATATGGAGATTATCTGAAGAAGACCGACTCGTCGATATTGGGGCGGTTGGGGGTTGGTCGTCGATGAAATCATCTGTCTGGGTGGCTCTGTCAGCGCTTGCAGTGCTCTGGACGCTGGTCCGCCAACTCGCCCTTTGAGAACTCTCCATACTGAATCGCGACAAACGGTTATATAGCGGGCTCGTTGGGCTGGGCCGGAATTCAAACATGTCGTCACTGGGTATGCGGTTCGTTCCGGCTTCTCGAATTATAACGCCCTCCCTTTCTAGTGCTTTAACCCCAAACGGATCCGGGTCGTCAGGTGGGGGGACACCAAACAGATCGGTTTCGATATCAGCATCTCCGGGAGCTTCTCCCGGAGGAGGAAGCATAGTCTCATCCACATCTGCATCACCTTGAGCCGCCTTTATCGTCTCTATTAATGTTCCTATCGAGGCCGGTGGATTCTTTGCTTTGCCCGCCAAAATGTCAGCCACGCGGATTCGTTCACCATAGAAACGCTCGTTTTCATCGGTCCTCTCGATTACGATCGTCTCATCCATTTGAACTCCCGCATACACACCCCGACTCTTCAGATAGGTCCACACCGGAGCCCGTCGCTTGTGTACCTCAGATTCCACTGCACCTCCTATACCAAACGGACCAGCAACTGGACTGAGCTCCCCACCCAGCGTACGTCGTACCGCTTTGAAAGCCTCTAGCGCCTCGTAAGTATTTATGACAACCACACAATCGTAGATATCCACACCAGCCAGAAACCCAAGCCCAACAGTATGCATCATGATTCCTGAAGGAGGACTCCACTCTCCCGTTTCCTTTATCCTGGCGACAAGAATTCCACCACCTCCAGATCCACTGAACCAAAGGCCAGTTCTCATCGCAGTAAATATTGCCAAGCCCTTAGCCTGCTTGATAACAGCAGGAGGTATCTTTTTAACAACCCTTTGTTTCCCTTTTGGCTTGTCAATTACCTCCTTCTTGTTGTCCTGATCAGTATTCTTATATTCGTTAGCCCGATCTTCTGAGCTCGCACGCGAATCCGTTCCATTTGCCTCCTCACTCTCTTTGTTAATCTCCGCGTAGAACCCATCCTTACAAAAACTTCGCAATATTCGAGCCGCCTTATCACTTTCCTTATCTAGAGTCGTGGGCCAGAATGCCTCCGCACCGAGCTTGTTCGAGAGACGATTCACCGGCGGACCGGGCTGGTCAATGGTTTTGTAGGGCTTATCAAACCCGCGCTTCGGATACACTTTTGTCTTTTCCCATTTCCAGTTCGACATTGTACCATTTGTTTCTTGCCGATTGGGACCGGAACAGATGATAGAGGTGGAAAGATGGTTTGTTCGAAGAACCTCGACACAAATAAGGAAGCAAACGCTTTACGTAAGGCGAAACTTCGGGCGAAGGTTTCACGGTAAGTTGCGATGGGAGCGGCTCGGCAGTCCAGGAAGTTAATAAGTTGAACAAATCTGTACTTCGCATTGGGGATCTCGCAAAGGATAAGTAGAGCGGAAAAAGGTATGAGATGAGAAGAGAGTCGAGCGAATGAAATACAACTAACTGTTCATGCCCAGAAGAATGGAGGAGAAAACTGCGAACTATGAAACAGCCCCTCAATAAGGAAACATGTCAATTGCCTTGCTAACAACTTCCGCAAGTACCTAATAGGTGGTGGGTAAAATTATATTATTTACGGTGTGAACGAAGGTTGGTTCACTGCTGGTGAGCTTGTATGAGAGAAACATCTCTTATCAATTTGTTTGCGGTCGAGACTTTTATACAAATTTCTTCAGGGTCAGCTTCAACCGCCTGCGGAGAGTTAAGAAAAAGAAAACATAGAATCATGACGCTGACTTAGGACTTCCAGGGACATGACTGCATCGCAAAAACATGCAATATGGACCACGAGTACTTCGGCCGGTTAGCTCTAGCCACCGCATCACCAGGAAGCGCTCGCTGATGGCGATCATCTATCTGGGGCCCAGATCTTATGTCATCACTAAAAGATAGATATTGCCAAGCCCTGCTAACCCCTATATGGCATACATTAGTCCCAAATAGTACACACTAGTATTAAATAGGAAATCAGGATCAATAGTGTCTAAGAAAAAAAGTTCCAATTTGTTAGTAACTCTGTTGATGTTTATCAATTCAATATTTTCAGTGCTACCAGAAGAGCAAGATAAATCAATGATCTTTTGATAAAATAATTTTTATTTTCATATCTCAGTGATGAGTATAGTGTCAGCTCAAAAAAGATCAGTTAAAAATAAACGCTATGATGTTTCTAAAATATTAAGATAGAATCATCTATGATCTGCATCTCTTCTCTTATATTGAAAATCTTATACACCTCCAAGTATTAATATTATTAATATCAAAAATTCTTCATATGATCAGGCAGGCCGGTGGTAGTGACTCTAGAAATCTCTACAATCTTGTGAATATAGAGAGGCAAGACAGTCTCTAATTTCTATATCTTCAAATTATAATATCTCAATAAATATATATTATTTCACATAGTGAAGTTTCTGTGATATCATAAAATAAAGCTAGAGAGATAAAGAATCTAAATATATTAGTTTTATAACGATTGAAGAAGTATTTATATAGATGGTTGGTAATTAAAATGAAGGATGAGATAATCAGATCCATTTGTTAGGGCTGATGAAGCCACGTGCGTGGATAAGAAGTTTACTACTGCCTATTTGATTGAATCGCGACAAGAAAAATCATTACATGCGAAATTTGAGCAAGACTCGAGTAGCCCAAAGCACCCAAGAGCACCATCATACTTGCTAGAATAACTCCGACACCTTCTCGGTCACTGACTGGTCGCCGTCAAGCCTATCCGCCTGCCGCCGAAGAATATCTGCCCTCAGTTTCGCAAACGCTCGCTGGATCCTCTCCTTTGACTCAGGGTCCTTCCCTATTGTCTTCCGGGCGGAATAAACGCCAGTGATAAGCCCCGATTCACCACCCACAAACAAGCCCCCAGCAGAAAACAATGCGAACATCGCCATGTCACCCAGCGTTGTGGGTCGGAGCATAGGGCTCAGATCAGGAACCGGCTCTGTTTAACAACAGGCACGAAGGGAAAACGTTAGCAAAAACTCCGCCTAACAAACCCCATATGTAAGATCATATTTTTCCGCACGCCTACCTAGCCGGCCGTTTGCAAACTGCACATGCGTGGGCTTCTCTGCAACCCGGAATGCAGTAAACATATCCATCCTCACTCGCCGGACGCGTAGCCCAAGGTACATTCCCAGGCCGATACCGATGATCGACCCAAGGGTAGTGTGCGTGGCAAGCTTTGACGCGGCGGAATTCAGTGTATCACGGTCCGATTGCTGGAGATTATGTTTCAAGTGTTCCCGCGCCAGATCGGCAAGCTCCCGGCGGGTCGTGCCGCGGAAGGCTGCGAGCGAATCGGGCATTATTGTTCTGGGTGTATATTTTTCCCGTTCAGCCTGATAAGCTATGTATATATATAACTGGGTTTAATCGGTCATTGGGAAGGAAATGCGGATTTTCGATCAATGCAACTATGGCGAACGGTTCATGATGGTTATTGCCTTTGACGAGGTTTGATAGTTTAGCTGTAGCTATATAAGCTTCTCGATCGATGACGTCATTGAGAAGTAGTTGAACTGGAGCTATTCTGACATCAGACCTGGTGGCTTCACAACAAACTGCTGCGAAGGAATTGCACTATAGGGATTATAGAGTTTGCAATTGCTCGTGGCGCTAGGTGGATAATTCACAAATGCAATGAATGCTGCCCGTAGGAACTTGGACAGCAAGTAACTTATGATATCATAAGATATGGCAGGCAGAACAGGCATGTATGCAAAAGCATAGCAATTAGGGCTATGGAATCAAACGATATCCCTTTCAAAACTCATCTCAACAGTCGCTATCATATCCTTACTGTACCACACAATATAGAATACCATCTGCCTTCAACAACGAAAAAAATGTCGCAAGAAGCATATCAAGCCGAAAGAGATCTGAACACCTACCAAGCAAAGACGGGGAGGGCCAAAGAGGGCGTTAGTGACACAAGTAAGTCCAAGGTATCTTATCCGCTCTTGATGCATTGATATTAGGGCAGGAGAGGGAAAAAACGAAAGAGAGAGAACAATCATCCGCTAACTCTAACAATCTAGCCGCAGAATCTGGCGTCGATGCCAGCGTAGAATACAAATTCCCCGGCTCTCAAGTGAAATACGGCCCTGGATCCACGGCAAGTGGGAGCGATCATCGCATAATTCCACCCGAAGAAGGAGGACGATATGATGACCGCGGACAGTGAGTTCTTAACTCCCAACTACCTCAAATTAATGGCTTTCGTTTTAAATACAAAAGAAGACTTACACCTGAGTGCTTGATCATAGTTTAACCAAGGGGGAGGACTTTCTTGGACAAGGGGGGTCAGAAGATACATTGAGAATGGAAACCGAGAGCAGATCTGGAGATCAGGATACGGCGACTGGGCGTATGCCGCTGAAACATTCACAGGAGTAGATGGTGCAGTATTGGTTTGTTTGGGGATCTTTTGAAACATATTAAGTGGGGTTTTTTTTCAGAGTTGATATGAAGACAAAGGTAGGCAGACAGCTTTGAACAGAATGGGCTGAAATTGCATGCAGCGCTTTATGCAATGCAAGTTTGATGTAATATGCTATTTGAAGAGGCCGGACACTTGAACATCTAAGCCAGGTCAAAAATATATTCAGGTGATGTGGAAATTCAGGTTTGATGTGTGTGAATGAGATATCAAAGGTGACCAGAGCGTGGGAATGCAACTTACGGGAGTTCGGTTCTTTTTCATCCTCTTTTTATCACTTAACTCCGAATTTGACGCAGCCTCTTACCTCCTATACTATTATATTTCCCTTCATGATCCATATTCACTTGTTTTAACACTTATTCATTCATTTAGGATCCCAAATAATAAGTTCATTTTTAGGCTAGTAGAAAAGTAGGGTTATAGTTAACATAGCCAAGCTTTAAAATCATCTTTCATCATCAGATTCAGTAATCTGCAAAGATCAAGCCACAGGCCTTCATCTTTTAGACGCGATCATTCCAGTATTCACGCCCACAATCAACTCCCTATTCACATCGATTCCCCTCTCTTTGAGTTCCTCCTACTCAAAATCCCGCCTCTGCTGCATCTCCTTCTCCTCCTCCACGTACTCCCTACTCGATGCACCCACTCCTTCCAACCCGGAACCGTGGTGTTTCTGATGGGTCTGGCCATCATGATGCAGTTGCGCTGAAGTCTCTCCCCAGACGGGTTGGCCAAGACCCCTATTCAGCTCCCGCGAGTCTGCACCCCCAAGTGCATCAACGGCCGAGGTACGTTCTTCCGGCGGCTGGCCGCCAGTGTGCGAAACAAATGTTCGATCCTCGGGAGCACTACCAGCAGGTAGAGTCTGTGCGTGAAATTCAGGCGCGTAGTCTGCGGGAGACACCTTTGTTCCCGGTTTATGCTAGATTTGATTCAAATCATAAGTATATTTTCAGCGCGCAAAATTCTAGTGAAGCGGGCATCTCTCTAAGAATCCAAAATATTCACCACTTACTTACACCATGTGTCTCCATCGGGGGAGAACGCGGAGCTGACGGATGAAATTCACCCTTGGGATTGTTGATGGATTCTGAGCCGCGCGGTGCTGACATGATGTCTTCTATATACAACGAGGATAAGGCAGGGTTCTCAATTGTCAAAAGTAGGGGTTTTAGTAGATTTGTTCTCAAGATATGAAAATGATTAACTGCTCAGAAGTCGAAAGAGGTGTCCGTTTTGGTTGATATATGTTTATATAAGGACCTGCCAATCATTGAAGGTTGCCTTTCGAGAACTAATCGATATGATATCACGGTTATGTCACATTTAGCTCTGGCTGGTGAGATGGTTCTACGAATCACAAACAACCAAATCCATGGGCTGTGGAATATCTCATACCTAGGTATATTGGTGGGAATTTCTGCCTCTCCTCACACAGCACTCAACAGAAGGTCTCCGGCAAGGAAACGGGTTTTCGGTATGTAGTTGCTATCATTGTTGCACTTTGCCTCTAACGACAATCAAGGCTAGCAAACCGCGCAGATATTTTCCTAGATGAACTTAGTCAATGATGATACGAAGGAATTGACCAAGTAGTGGAATTCAAGAACACCTTCAAATCTCAGCTGCAAGAGCTCACTTTTAGGTTCTCCCTCACAATTAGCAGTTAACCCCCTGGATTTGCAGGTGCTGGCAGCTCTTCAGTAAATAGGAGAATACTACAAAGTGCCGGGGTAGGGGAAGGATACGTCTGAGTCCGAATAAGAAAACAGGTGGAACGCGGATAGTTAGAGGTTGTGGCTTGTAGCCAGGGTAGACAATCCGATCTGTGTTAGATAACAGAATAACATGGAGCTGGAATAGGCCGCGCCGGAGTTGATAAACGGTGACAATTCAAGGGGGGAAAAGGCAAAAAAGGGGACTCAGTAAGATTGCAAGGAGTGTGAATGGTAATCCTCACTGCTTTGCACTGAAAACGATTACGGAACCAATGACTGTAAGCCCTGGAGCAATTGTATAGATATAATTATGCCCCTGCTATTGAAGCCCGGAGTGTCAGGTATCTGTGAACGAGGAGGCTTTTGCATTAGCTTATCAACGCCTAAATACCTCCTATCAGACGAATATCTAAGTGGAAAATTTTTGAAAGGGTGTGCATGTATTGCAGACGCTTGCTATCATGGGGCTATTGTTGAGCTGTCCTTGCGGTGAAGGGTTTATCCATGAAATTCTATGACCCTCTGTATGCTGTGCATTTTGAGAGCGAGTCCTAAAAGGTTGTAGCATCACATCTTGAAGGAATTAAAATGGCATACAGCATCTAGTATTATTATTCACATATGTTAAGATGCTGGGAATAACGATACCGCGGCGGCGCGGCGACGAAGGGAAGAATACAACAAGCCGTTAGGGACGGCTCGTTGTTCTCGTTGGGTCGAATTCAAGCGGTAACTATTCGTTATTCGTGACAGTGTTCCCTTTTCTCAATTCGGTTTCACTTCTCTTGGATTATCTCGTAAATATCCCCCCCTGAATGCTTGGGCAGCGCATTTTGCGAAGAACCCGCCTCCCCCTCTGCCATCAGCCTTTTCACCCAATCGACCCCAGAGTCCCACCAAATGTGACGCTGTGGCATCCCAACTAGCTGAAGGCTTTCGTGGTCCAAAGTCCCCGTCCCCAGATCCATGAGAGTCTCCGACCCCACCTCCTCAAAGGCTACAAAGGACACGTTGGTCCCGCATCTGGAGCAGAATGTGCGCCATACTGACTTGGAAGAAGCGTAATAAGTCAAATAAGTTTCCTTCGCTGTTTCGCTCGGGTGAACAAGCTGGTCACCGGTGATATCAATCCTTGCGTTGCTGGAATCGCTGCAGGGGCCAGATGAACCGCTTGCATCATCGCACCGGCGCAGTAATGAAAAGGCTATGAACTTTTGCGGGCATATGTTCCAAATCTGCACGGGCACCCCTGAAGCGCTTCTACAGTCGCTACAGTGGTCAAAGCATATCAGGGGGGCTTTAACGTCAGGTTGTTCCGGTGGGTGATTTGGGTTCAGAACCGGCCGTTCGTCGAACTTGGGGAATGAGACAGTATAACGAATCGCCTTGCAATGACACCCTCCATGGAGAGAAAAAGGTTCGTTAGGGAGGGACGACATGGTGTTGATAACAATTTATTAGGTGGCTGTTTAGTTTAGATTTTGGACGAATTTGGCGGGGTTCTAATTAGTAAGGAACCTGGACCTTGTCTTGATCTCTGATCGGCCAAAGGGGGAGTTGAGCCGCCGTCACTGGCTTTATTTTGAGTGCAAGGGAAGGGCACGTCCGAATACGATGCCCATTTTTATAAGAATACGTCGATAAAAATTTCACCATTCATAATTAGTCAGGCGTGGAGAGTCAATGGACTCACAATCATCTGCAGGCGAGCTAATTTGGTACATCCCTGAACGCTGTCCCAAATGCTCTGATTGAAAGGCATCCTCTTTCTCAGAGGGATGGCTCGCTCGCAGGTTAGCATGAACATGTAACTACCGAGTTGAGTATTTACAATGCTATAGTAGCAATTCCCGCCGCCGAACAAGTGTTCATTGACCAGCAAGACCTTCTTGGACCAGAAAATCGGCACATCACAATTTCAACGAGTACAAAGTACGGACGGAGTACGTGCGTATCATTTCGGTCTTGGAAATCTAGACCACAAGAGTCATGACAACGCTGGTTTCATCATCCTGAAGGATCCGGAACAAGTGCTGTTGGACAAGCCAGGACGGACCAGTGGCTCAGCGAGCTAGAATCGCTGTAGAATAATCACGCATGCGCCTCGTCCGATTAGAGTTATGTCTCGTCGTGCTCAAAAGGATGCCGGCGGGGAATGTCGAACAGGCTGCAATATTTCCGACATACTTGGCGCTCTCTCCTGGCACGCACCGCTTGCTGCTTTGCTCGTTAATTTAACTAGTTCCAATCATCAGCCAACGACCAGTTAAATAAATACACGCTGTGTCGTTTTCGGATCGGGGGACCGAAGCCAGGCGCTAGCTACGCAGCTTAAATCAACTTTAACTCCTTGGCCCTTCAGCCCTCTCCCAGTTTTTACCACAACAGGAATAGGCTGCGGGTTTTTAGATCGGCCGGTAGCCCATCTCAGACGAATGAAAACCCTACCATACGGACAGGCCTGATGCTGACGACGTTTCTTGGTGGCTTAAATTAGGCAGCGCAGATTCTCTGTTTTGTTTTGGAGCTTCTTCTTCCTCGAGCCGTCTTACGTGCGAGTAAGTTAGTTAGTTACCTACCTCAATCACAGAAAACACAAAATAATAAGTCCGATGTTCAAGTACCCATGACGTTTCCCCTAGACGCTGATGTGAGCTTCCAATTGGCTCATCCACCTTGACAAGCACAGATGTCAAAGGCCCAAGTCTTTTGCTGCTATGCTCAACTTCGGAGAAATGAGAATCGAATTTGATACCTTGTATTTGTGGCAGATGCCCAAGGCCATGACAGGTCTCATGTTCCCACCTATTGCCATATTTAGACCAGGGGAGCAAACTGTGCCTTTGATATCAAATAGATAAATATCATGACTGTCCCTTGAGATGGGAAGTATCTTTTCACTACAAACAATCATCCTCCAGTCTTTCTCTTTCATAGTTCGGGAACTTATTTATTTTCTCGACATATTTTGTTCTTAACCTACATTTCCTCCCTCTCGATCATCAATCAATGTCTGCCTCCCTTCTGTCGGCGCTTGTCCGCCGTCAAGACTATATGACTGGAGACTCATGCACTTTCGAGATATGTGATATTGAAAATTCATACTATGGCTACCGCCCGACACGTTCGGCAAACATTGCTTTTGCTGTAATTTTCGGCGTCTCATTTCTTGCATATGTCGTACAAGCCTTCACTTCGAGGCGGTTTCTAGGATTTTCCATTGCAATGGTCCTTGGTACTCTGTGCGAGCTTATCGGATACATCGGTCGGATATTGATGTACGACAATCCATGGGCACAGGTACGTGAATGATTTCAATATAAATATCTCTAGAGGGATGTTGCCCATGTTTGTTAACATTCCCCCAACCCTAGAATCCATTTATGGTCCAAATCTGCTGCCTGACAATTGGACCGGCCTTCCTCGCCGCCGGTATTTATTTCTGCCTCTCAAGAATCGTCACAACATTCGGCCGCGAAAATTCCCGGATCCCCGCAGTTTGGTATCCACGGATTTTCATTCCATGCGACATCCTCGCGCTGGCGCTTCAAGGCGCTGGAGGAGGGCTTGCTAGCTCCGCCGACCACGGAACTTCTGCGGCAGATGTCGGTACGAACCTTATGATTGCCGGTGTTGTCTGGCAGGTCGTCATTCTAGGCGTTTTCATCCTACTCGCTATGGATTTCGCTATCCGAACCGTGCTCCGCATGCAATCAATTGGCGTCGAAGCTCTAGACCCCAAGCATGCTATGCTCCGTTCGTCATTTGCCTTCCGTGGCTTCCTTACTGCCCTCTCGCTGGCTACTCTGTTCATCTTTACCCGATGTGTTTATCGAATTGCAGAGCTTTCGGGTGGTTGGGATGGACCGCTGCTCAAAGATGAACCCCTATTTATTGGCCTCGAAGGTGTTATGGTTGCTCTTGCTGTGTTGGTTCTTAACGCATTCCATCCAGGTCGGTGCTTTGGCACAGAAACTACTACTCACGGTGAGGAGCTAAAAGGCCATATATCCCAAGATGGGGACTCCACTCAAATGGAACTTATCGGGAGCAGACGATAGTAGCAAGTCGAGTACACTCGACTGACCTAATAAGTCACTCCTAAGGGGGCACATGGGGTTTATGTTAGCAACGGTCCATTTAATTTTGTTCGGCGTTTGCATACCAGTCTTTTTTTCTTCTCTTTTTTTCTCTTTTTTCCTTGTTTTATTTTTTTTCCTTTTTTTCCCCCTTGGGCATGATGTCCATTGCATATCTATCTATCTCCTTTTGTCGACCTAGCGGGTTTCGAGATTCCCTATCATATTTCCAAAAATGTTTAATTCCTTGTTAAATTAATAGAACACCACGAATGTAAATATAATGAAAACTTTGGTACCTAATCCTCATCGGTGGAAGTCTTTGTTGAACACTTATAAGTGCATACTCCGTCCTATTTAAATATTTCATTTTTAGTGATTCGGTCTAAAAATACCCTCATGTTCGTATGTAAGCCTAGGTTTATTATGAAGACCAATAGAAGAATAGGTCGTCTGGCAGCCACAAAGAAAACGAGATAGGAATTTGTGGCATTCTGCAGAAGTCAAGTTTCCATCCAGCTGGAGCGAGTTGTAAATCGTTCCTCCTCTCCGACAGGATATCCCCAGTCCGCCGCAATTGCATTCTATCAACCGCTTTGCTAACAGATGTCTGTCCCTGGTTTTGGGGTCAGCACCATGGCTACCCTCACCACAGTAGTGTTGCCTTCTCCGGAGTATGCAGCGCCGCATCACCCCCTCATCACCACCTGATTGGCATCGTATTCCTAGTGCTCGCTGCCAGTGATGGTGTATGAGTCCCTTTGGCGCTACGAAATGCAAGCTCATAAAGCACGGGCACTCGATAAATCCCTTTTACAGGACGCGTCAATTATGTTCTCAACAGCGAACCAGACCATATCCATCCTAACCCGCTGAGCAATAGAGAAAACACCAGCTGTGTAGCTGAAGGAAAGAAAGGAAAAACTTCGTTTTTAGCCCTATTTTCGTGACGAGAGGGTTGAAAGTCATCGAATCGGCAAGGGCAGACAAAACTATCAGCCACCCCTAGCAAAGTGGCGGGATCTCTGCATCTAACCCGTCCTAGAGTAGGTGTCTTCATCAATGTCCCTGCAAGATTGTTTATAAATCTCCAGGCGCTCTCTGGTTGTACTAAAAGTGAAATAAGGATCGGCTGCCAGGACTCGCTCATAAATGATCGATATCAAGAAACGCCCGCCACGGGGCGACGGAGCTTTCATTGTTAAACTATGATAACCCTCATAGCAATGTGTCCTTTTCATCTTTTAACACGGCAAGCAAAACTGTTGTGAAGTATTCATGGAGTGGCCAGCTCAAATGTCGCTCACTGATTTCTTGGAGAGCTTTGAGGAAGCTTCTCATGCTGGGTCCTGTCACATCTCTCTAAGAGAATGAACAATATGCTAGTTATTTATTCTCAAAAGGGAGTGAGTAGATAACCAAAGATCCTTTTAGCAGATTTCATGTATTCTCTTTCAATTGTTCGCCCGCTATCAAAACGAATAGATGTAGTTCTGGTTTTCCGGGAGCATGTTCCGATCCTCTTATCCTACTGTATCTGAATTGCTGAAATCCCCGCGCAGTGGTTGTATCATTTTCTCTTTGCTTCCCTTTCTTCTCTTGCCGGATGCATGTTGGAGGTTTGGCGGTTACGTAGTTACACCTAATTGGGTTAGTTAGAATTAATCGGCCCCGCGGGGCTTAAAGCGGGTCCAATTAAGCTTAAAACTTGGTTTAAACTCCAACTTTTTCTCAATTTCTTGTACACCTCTTAACCTGCGCACCGCGTCCTCCTTTTGGGTTGACGATGAATAGTGGACCTCCCGGTGACCATTAACTACTCATAGGTATATTTCCTAGTAATATTCTATAGAATTATTTCGCACAGCGCCGAGGGCCCGATCTATGGCCCCAAGCATCGTGTATAATATAGTAGAGGCTCATAGTTCGACAGAGAATTGATTCTAGCCTAGGGAGCATCTGGCTTGGGTCACCTTACCAGTTCCGAAAATGAACAATTAAAAGGAAGGCTGCGTATACCACTCCTTCACTATGGACATGGATAAAACTGAGCACACAAGCAAACACTCTGAGTATCGCCAAAGCAATTCAATGAAAAATCACATAATTCCCTTTGTTCAAAAATATTTTATATAAAAACTTAAACGTTTGGAGCAACAGCGAAGGCGTTAAGGGGATCTGCGACATACTTAGTATCTACTTACCAAGGTACAGACATACATACATGGACCTATAGGGGGAATACTTTGGCTTCAAAGATATTATTCTACAACAAAGTTTAGATCTTTCCGGGCTTTACTTTTCCACCAAAAACCGCAGGCTTGGAATCAGTATTGTTTAGGGTTTAGGCGAGTCAATTGTTGTCCCTAAACACCGAAAGAAGTGCAGTAGGCTAGGGAGGTTAAAGGTAAAAGCCCGAATATTTCAGTAACGAGAAACTCAGGAAGAGCAATTAAGGGTTTAAATACAGAAGAACAATGATTGTTGTTGTCGGGGATGGATCTTCAGAATCATCCAAAAAATGCAATACGCTGCAGGTGCAATCTTTTATTTTGTATTTTGGCGCAAGGGGCAGGGAATAAAACAACCAATATCCATGTAAATGTGTGTTAACCTGGATTGTTCAAACTATATCTTGACACCTTGATCACAATTGGCTTGTGAGGCTATTGAATGGAAATCAAATAAGGCTAGTATACTAAAAACAAACAAAGAATAATAAGTGGGCAAAAATATGCAATGTATTCACTGAAGGCTCTGGTAAACGCATGTCGTTAGCGTTCTTTTAAATTCCAAGGAATGGACTCTTGATATAGTAAAGTAACTAACACTACAACTTTTGTTAATATAATTAAATAAGTAAGGTCTGTTATGTCCGAGTAATAAATGGATACGAAAAAGCAAAAGAAACGGGGGAAAAAAGAAAGAAGACAAGAGATAAAGGAAAGTTAACGCGGGAATCAGTCACGTTCAGACTGGACAACCACTCAAAGTATGCAATATTAAATAGTGACAAGGACCAAGGACGAGAAAATGATATCGGGCGTGGCTTGTCACACAATCAACCACACTCTCGGAATAGTTGTTGCGCAATGTCAGTCGTGGAAAATGTAGGATGGGATGCCCTGAATGAACAAAAAAGAAAAGAAAAAAAAAAGAAAAAGAAAAGAAAAAGAAAAAGAAAACGGATAACTAACGGATAAAACGGAGGAGGAGCATTATTATTAAATCCAGGGCAACCTGGACATCAAGCCATTTAAGGCTAACTACACACGGGGATCGGGGAAAAAAGGGGGGGAAAAAGTAAAAAGTAAAAAAAGTAAAATATCTAACCCGACGCGCTGGATAGAATCACGCATGACAAACGGAATTAAAAAATAAAAAAATAAAAATAAAAAAAACAATATTATTAAATGGGAAATTCGTGTTTGGGTAGGAGGGTGAAAAAATCAGGGTAAAAGAACCAATAGAATTAATAACTGCATGCATAATTGATGTATGGCCCTGCCTAACCTAGGGTAGTCTCATGCATTAGCGCACTCAACAGTGTCAACTTCCAAGGTTCTTTCACCATTTCACAACGTGTTGCGGGAAAAATTCTTCGATGAGCTCGAGGTAGTAAGGCTGCAGGATTGGTGCAAAGTTAGTACTTTTCTAATTGATCACATTATTCTATTGATGGACCTGAAAAAAGAGACGGATAATTGACATACCTTTAGTTCTTCGATATTCGGAACGTCATCAGTCTTGCTGTATAGATCATACGGGTTGAAAGCCTTGACCGCCTCAAGCATGCGCTCGTCGTCGTCGTTCATCAGGTGCCTATATGCACCAGCCGTGTGCCAGGGATAAAACGAATGATAGCGAATCATGGCCAGTGCCTCCTTGGGGAGGGTCGACTGGGTCTTGACGACATTGTACAGATACTCGTCATGGCCCCAGGAAAGCATGACATTATCAAGGCCGCAGTTGGGGTAATATATGCCGAACTTGGTCCCGTATATTTGGTGCCCAAGATCAGGATTGTTTGCAAATGTCTCGGGATAGATAATTCGCTCGTCAAAGGCGCATCCAACTGGGAATGTATCTCCTACCACGTCCCATTGGCCTTCTGCGCCAAAGAAGAAGAGAAGCTTCCCTAGGTCATGAATCAAGCCAGTGAGTTGCATCCATCTTGGCTTTCCGTCGCGCCTGATGGCTTCAGCGGATTGGAGAAGATGGCCGATTTGGGAGAGGGAGGTGTCCGGATCTGACTCGTCGATCAAGGTATCGAGTTTCTCAATTGCTTCCCAAATTGTCATCTCAGCTCTGACTCTGGACCGGAACTCGTTACGGGCTTTCAGATTGTATGCAACCGTTTGCTTCTCGTGCTGCTCTCGATAGAAAGCCTTGACCCGTTCGCAGGCAGTCTCGTATTGCCGGAACTTGGACTTGTCCTTGTCTGCTCCAAATTTGGGCTGATCATAAGGGATAGATCCCTCGAGTTCTGCTTTCAAGACATTGACAATATCGATATCATCTGATGTCTTGTCGAGGGCACCGCCGTCGCGTGTCACATCAAACGTGACGTTGTCAATCCTTGCGGGAGCCATGTTAGCGGAGGGAAGTTTGACTGAAAAAGGGAAGAAAGAGAGATAAGAAGTTGAATTTGCAAATTCTAGTATGCTATAGAGGGGCGGAGTGGAAAGAAATTTGTCAAGATGAAGTATTAAGGTTGTTAACGAGAAGAAACATTCTAGAGAAAGACGAGGTGTGGGCCTATATATACTTATGTACAGTACCTACCCTGGACAGTGTCTGGGCAGGTATATTGTGCAGAAGATAGAAAGCCACCAGCAGGAGGAACGAAGAACGAAGGTTGATTGACAGCAAATCATTATTGCAAACAACACAGTCTAGCAGGAAATCATGAAGTTAACGCAAGCTTAGAGAAGCAGCTGCCCTTCGTTGGGATACGATCATTTTGCACGCTTCATTGCAGTTAGACCCTGCATACGATCTAAATTAATTGCACTGTACGGAGTCGTACTGCCAACGAAACATATTGATATCGGGTAAGTCCAAGGCAAAAGAAATAAAAATAAAACAAAAACAAAACGATCAACTAAAGCACGTTTACAAGTATGAAACCCGGAGGAAGGTAAACAAGAATAAGAACAAAAAAGATAAAAAAAAATAAAGGGATAGAGAGAGAGAGAGAGAAAACGAAAACCTTTGTTCGGCCAAACTTTGGTAAAGGCGTGCATATCCAAGGACGTTCTACCATAATTAAACGGTGTCAATAATCGAAACATGCATGGAAGACAGGAGAATTCTAGCGTGTCGAATAGTGAAGCGGGTAAAAGGCTCCATCTTCGGATCCACGCCGATCCCACGGGTAGCAACATGAGATGGCGAATTGGGCACCTTTGTTCTTCTGCAGGACTTTCGCACTAGAAACGACCGAAAGACCGCACGCATGCACCAACATTATTGGGCATGTTTACCGCCCTATTCTCCAAGTCTTTATCGATCTTATTACACATAGAAGCGGACATCAGTCGGCGACCATGCTCATATAACCCTCCCTCCCCATAACAACGCGCAATTTGAACCGTTTGCCTTGTGATGCGGCGGCAGGCGCAGCAAAAGAGCGGTAAGGCCGTTAATCGTGGCACATATGTATCCGGAGATTCATAATTCACAGCGAATAGGTTACGCATTATCGAGGTCTTAACGGCTCCACATGTTGTATCGCGCCCACTGGGATAGACGCACCGCACGCAACCTCCCGCATAACGGTCATGAGGCCGTAACGTGGCCGGAGCTCTTGGTTCGAGGCCCGAATGTTGCGATAACTTGACTCGGAACCATATGGATGTTTCATTTTGTATAACAAAGGTTCTTCGCAAAATACTATATCCGATAAAAGACCCTGGGCTAGACTAGGCACATCGCGAAACGGATTGGTATATTTTTTCAGTGACTCATCGGACAATGATTCGATTTGCGGGTAGAACGACCTATGCTGGAAATTCGATAACAGCAGGGCATGAAGCCGTCCGCCATTTCGGAGGGGCGCATGGTTCTAGCACCTTGGCAATTTAACTCCTCTGATCCCGAGAAGCGAGTCGCCTCAAGTGCGAAAAGCTTTATTGCTCCCGTCAGTGGGGCGTGTGTCAAACGTAGCTCACTGGTTTGCAGAAAATGTTTGTCTGAACGGAACGTTACGCTACATGTTAATATTAGGCAGCTTCAATATATTTGCAATCATATAACGTTTCCCTCACCTCACTTCAGGGCTGTCTTCCCGCTTCAGGAAACACACGACGCGTGGGTTTTTAAGCACTTGTAGAATGCGGTAATATACATCCCCATCCGGAAGATCACCCGCCCCAACACTCAGAACACACCAACCAGTTATTTTTCATAGAAACGCCATTTTGTCCTGAAATCTCTCCCTACTGGCAAGTCCTTTAAAGCGCCCTAAACAACTCAATCGGCATGTGGTTCTCCTTCAATATACGAGCATGAAATTCCTTTTCAGGCATCATTCATCCCATCCACCACTTCCTTCCTCAATGCATAGAGTTACAACGCTCCCAACATATAGCCCGCTTGGTATAACGGCGTATAGTCTCCATCAAATGATCTCCTTAACTCACCTTCCGCTGTTGCCAGCTCGTCGCCCACCCGTTTCACAAGCTGATCAGCGCACTCCTGTGCAGTCATCAATCTCAGTTGGAACTTTAAGGAGAAGATGATGCGCACGCATATACGTTTGCAAATAATGGCCAGCGATCAACTCGTGGAAGACCGTTGCGCGGGCGAAATGGATGTTGTACCCGCGTATGCTCATTAATTTGGATTCATGGGCCATATCCGCTGTAGGGTATGACACCATGATTTTCTCTCCGCAAAGGAAAAAAGGGGCTTGCTTGTGCTATGCTAGCGACATCATGAACATTCTCCACGTCCCCGCCGCGAGGGGTGGAACAGTAACGAGGCCATGCTGCTTTGTCACGTAATCGATTGCTTCGAGTGTGAGATCGCACAAGTGGTCTGTTGGCCCGGCTCTACCTGGAGGGTCTTCACAAACTCGAGAGCCTGGTGCCAGTTGCCGCTATAGCCCAGCTCAGTGGCTACTTTTATCATTTCAGCCTCACACCAAGGTCGACAAGCAGGCCATCGCGGCCGATGGGCTTTCCAACAATAGCGTCCTCTTCGTCGCCAGGGGTGGTGCCCATGAGTTTCTCGCCAATAAAAGTTGTGAGCTCTTCTAGTGCCTTGGCGATCTTACCATATGGTTCACCCACCAGGTAAACAACGGATCGTAGGCATTGAAGAAACCAAACCACTCCTGTAAGTGATTGCGGAGCTGGTCTGCCGCTTTTGCGGCACGGGAAGCACTTGGTTTGTCAATTGTTACCTTCCCGGTTTCTACGCGCTATTTTAATTCGGAGATGACTTTGGTGGCGTAGTCTAGGTCACCAGCGGCTCCCTACCCGTTTATTGGGTTCATTTTCTACCTACCTTGACAAAGATTGATTATCATGGAGGCGAATGGGAGAAGAGGTTGCATCTTCTCGCTCCTTTACGCATCAAGGTGTCGAGCTGTTTCATGTTCCGCTTCAGGTAGTTTTGCAAAAGCAAGTAGTCAATATTACCGTCCTGAGAATGGCTATCAAAGCCTTCTTTGCTAAGATCGCTGAGCTGCTCATTGTAGTATGCCTGAAGCCGGCTCACTCTCTCGGGAGAAAAGGGAATGTTGTAGAACTTTTTGAGACAGTTTAGGTCTTCCGCGACCCGTTCAATACGCTGTTGCATCTTCTCAGAAACAGAAACAGTATGGTCTGATGTCACCGCGGTGATGAACTCCTCAATTCGACAGCGTATGGTAATAGGGCAAAGACAAGCGAGGATGGCTGGGGGCTGATTGTCGTGTACGTGCTGTGCAGCAAAAGAACAGGTACGAAACCTGCCCTACCAATGGCAAGGGTGCGGCAGGTGTTTTATATGCAGCAGAACATGAGGCAAATGGCACCATCGGATGTGTTTACCGGACTGTTTGCTTGCTGTCATGCCGACATCGCAAGAGTCGTCAGAGCCACAACCACACCTTTCGCGCCAGTCGAGCAGGCTTGAGGGTATTCCCGACCTTAACACTCACTTTCCGTCCGGTCAAGCCACCACCAGTGAGCCGCAGCTCGAAATAAGCCGGCCTTACATGGCTGTTTAGCATCCGAATACCTCTCGACCGTCTCATCCAAGCCTTTTTGCCCGAGGCCAGCAGCCCCTCTCAGAAATCGAGCCGACAAACTTTCATCTCTGGCCCGTAAACCAGGCAAAAATAAACCATTTCGGGGTTGCCCAGCCTCCAGCTCGTCGGTTATTGTGCCACAAGATTGAAGCGTTCGTTAGCATTTGCGGAGTATGGAGTGCTAAGCTTGATAGATCGACGTCGTTGTGGCTTTGTAACTCCACCGCATCAGCCAAGCGCCTGCCTAGCCGCCTACTCGGTCGGCTTGGCGCCCCGTCAATACAACGTCTCTCCTTAATTGCTCGCTGTGTTGACAGTTGACCGCTGGTCAAACAAAGGAAACTTGCTATGTATGTGCTATGGAAGGAAGTGACAATCGGATGTATCTGGCAAGTTTCCTCAATATTTTCTCTTTGTATCAGTACCACCAACGCAGGCGGCTTTCTGACCGAAAGATAGATACCCCATTGCGCGGCCGGACCTTTATCTGAGCTGCTGAAGAGCTAGCACTCTACATGGATGCGGAGCATGCTCCAAAAACCACCAAAAAGTCTACCTCTTCCGTTTTGGCTCATGGGATTGACAATATCATCTTCCTTGAAGATGAAAGCACAGGATATTAACGGACACGCCCAGTTTTTGCATTTTGCTGGGTGCCTTCATCCCGGCAGCCTGTCATACACAACGGCGTGAGTGAGGCGTCGGAGAATAAGCACCCGAGTGTGTGTGCGGGGAGAAGACCTGGATGTATGTTTCGTACAAGCAATGCAACGTCCCCGAGGAGTCCCCTACTGGCGCTCCGGTTTCGGCGGCGCCTCTCAGACAACCCCCGCCTTTGGTCATCTACCCCTAAAAATAGGAGGCATAGCTACCCTCCTTCTTTCGCACATCTAGAGAGATCGCGTTCCTTGCTGGGCAACTGTCAGCTATCCGCTGAACAGATACTTCCGTTAACCGATGTGGTCTTCCCTTCTGGACAATGCTACCCTACAGGAGTACCATGCCCCCTGTACCTTAGATTGTTGATAGCTTTCTGGTGAGCTAAAATGCACCACTTCCAAGGGTTCTCATTTCAACGTTGATGTTTTATAGAACTGATCACCCAGCGATGGCATATTCACAAAGAACAAATTTATCTTTCTTAGGCTTTGTTATTTGTGACTGTTGCGAAATGGTTCAAGCTTCAAAGGGATTTCAAGCAATGCGCGCTCGCATGAGAGGCCAATAGCTAGATCACGATGGTGGAATTTCTACTGAGCTAGGGGCGCATGTTACTTCGACTGTCATTGAGGATATACAGAAGTTCAAACAACTCATCAATTTGATCCAAAATTGCCCCAAGAGCATATTGACGCCCTTCGCCATGCTACCGAAGCAGGCGATACTGAAAGGCCACTGCACTCGAGCAAGAACTCATTGAAGATTCCCCGTATCTTGAAGTTCGTGCAGCTGTTCAAAACATGGACGAGGAGTTGGTTGCTAAGACGGTCCGCGCATGGATACTGGGATTCATCTTCACTACACTTGGTGGCGGCTTGAACATGTTCTTGAGCATGAGGTAGCCTATCCTCCTCAACCCTCGAGCGATATACAGGAGTCCCGCCATAAGGTTTCCGTCCATTGTTGTTCAGTTGTAAGTTAATCTTTGTTTTCAACATACTGGTACTCACGATAGTGCTCACAATCAGGCTGGTGTTCCCCATGGGTTGTTTTTGGGCTAATGTCGTTCCCCGTAGAGTGTTCAACACTTTGCGCTTCGTTGAATTTTTAACCCGGGACCTTTCACAATTAAGGTGGACACAGTTGTTACTGTATGATATTCCGCCCCACAAATGTTCTTTAAGCAAAACGGGGAACTTTGTTAATGAAACCTTTGTCATAGCTTATAACCAAGTAAGTATTACGACGAACCTTTCTCGTGTAACTATGGCCGCAAACCGAACATGAGGACTAGCGGAATGAATGTCAACAGTGTTTCCATTACTTAATTACTTATGCCTATAGTACCGATGCGCTTCTTGCATTGAAAGGAAACGGTCAGAACACCCTTGTTGATGCATACACTTTTCTCCTAGTCCTCCACAACGCTAATCTCATACTTGAACAAAATATTTCAACGTCGATAATGGTTGGGGATTCCAGCTACTATTTACCCTAAGTAGCCAGCTCATTGGAATTTGGTTAGCGGGTCTTTTTCGCCGATTCTGTGTCTGATAAGTATTGGTATTTGCCATTATATACTAGAAGCCCGCTAACTCGATTTTTCCTAGGCTATCTTCCATGATGTGGCCAACGGTATTTTCCTGTAGAAGCCTTCTATATGCCCTCCATGACAAGAGAGGGCTAGACCCTTCCATGACAAACGGGTGGAGTATTTCACGTCATCGCTTGTTCATGTACTTGGGCCTGGCGTCTTTTGTATATTATTGGTTAGTTAAACACTCCCCGAGCCCTTTGCAATCAATTGCACCTATATAAACTAATGCTCTTTGTGCGGGAAAAAAGGTTTCCTGGAATCATCTGAGAGGGTCTCGCAGTATTTTCCTTCTTAACGTGTGAGTCAGTTATAGTTTTAAAAATTTTTCTAAACGTAGTTCAAGGATCAAACCAAATAATGTTGTTGTCAATCAGCAATTTGGTGAATTTACAGGGTTGTCATTGATCCCATTGACCTTCGATTGGACGTGAGTTATTTTCTCCCTCACATATTGGTGGGAGCGACCATTAAACCGTTACATTAGCTACATATCGAGTTACCTTCTCAGCCCTATGCTATCGCCAACTCATTCGCATGTGAACACTTTAATAGACTTGGTAATAGCTACATATATCGGTATCACCATTTCAGGGGCGCTGTAAGTAAGCAGATATCAACGCATGGTTATCACGAACCTCATTAATTATAGGTACGCCGAATATCTGCCAATCAGCACATCCTCCACCTTTGACAATACCCAAAATTTCTACAATGCCTCCCGTATTGTCGGGCCAGATTTTACATTCGACGACGTAGCCAAGTACAAGGAGTATTCGCCTCTGTTTCTGGTCCCCACATATGTCCTGAACTATGGACTCTCCTTTGCCACCCTCACCGCTGTTGTTGTGCGCATTATTCTTTTCCATCGGAAGGAAATCATTTACAGACTGAAGGCTGCGAAAAATCAGGAATCTGATATACACATGAAGTTGATGCGGAACTACCCGGAATGTCCTGAATGGTGGTATGGAGCTCTATTCCAAGTCTAGCTACCGGCGAAGAATATGCTTCACAACTGCCTTGTAAGCCAACTGGCCATCCTATACATCCGCGATTGCGTCCAAGTCAGGTTTCTGAATGATGTGGCTGTCATAGGGTGAGCTTTCTTCGTTTCAGTCGTCTCGAATTGGTATTTGTTGTATGTGCTCCTAAGCCCCTTGTTAACTTAGCAAACTTCTACTAAATCGAACAGATCCAAACTTGCATGTTGATGGAGATAACAAACGTTAGACTTTGTTGAGTCCCCGCCCAAGCCACGAGATCCCCATTCGACTGCTAACCCGTCTCAGCGCTTAATGTTATGTCTCCTTTCATAGGAGGCTACCTGATCCCCGGAAAAGCTATGGTCTTCAAAGTATTTGCCACAAACACTCTCAGTCCTAGATGTTGACTAATTCCGCCACAGGCAAACCTTTTCTATGGATCTAAAAGTTCGTTCTTAATGGCCAATGGCGGAAATCTATGGCGCCCTTCGTGAAGAGCCCGTGGAAACTGATACACTCCTCAGCTAGTACATTATATGAAAATCCGTCCAAGAACAACCTTGACTTGTCAGGTATTTGCTGTTATGTGGAACGCATTTGTTCAAATTGCGGTCGGCCATGAATTGGACTCTTGGGAATATCGACGAAGTTTGCACGCCGTAAGCTCATTCCTAGTTTGTGTGCATCTATATGTTTAATGACAATGCCAAACCCGGTTGCAAAGTGCCCAATCGGCAAACTTTACCTGCCATAATGGGAAAACTTTCTTCTCGTCTGCTATTGTCTGGGATATGTTTATATATATATATTCCTTTCCCGAAACGCAACCTGTACTCAAATCTCCCATTATCTCAGGTATTAGTGGTCCCGACCGAATGTTTGGACCTGGCTCTTTATACGAGTCAATACAGTGGTTCTGGTTACTCGGTGCACTTTTCCCGGTTCTCTTCTACGTGCTCTTTCGCATGTTCGCCCGATCTCCGGCCCGTCTCTTGAACGCTCCAGTATACTTTTCCACCTCCCACGCAACGGCTCTTCTCACCAAAGCCGTTATAACCGCGTCTCCCTCTGCCTTGTCTTTTTGTCTCCCATGCTTTGGTTTACACACAGACTTACTGGATCCGTCGTCGTTGACCGGGATGGTGGCAGAACTATAACTACATAACGTCCGCCGCTCTGTATACGGGGCTAGTACTTGCAACTATCGTTATCTTCTTCGCCCTCACTTTTCCAAAAGTGGAATTCCCGGGCTGGTAGGAAAATCGAGTGCCACATGAGACACTGGTAAGTGACAACTTCATTTTGGAATTCGTTTGTGATCAAGCTAACATGTTTTCCTTCTGCTCTTTTCGGATTAGGATTATATGCATAAAGCGACGCCAAAGACAATGCGTGAGAGTGAGGCGTTTGGCCCAACAACTTGGAAGCTGTGAAATGAGCTCAATAAGAGTTCTCTTTTTTTTCATCGTCACTTCGCTTCCTCTCTCTCCATCTAACACTCAACTCAGCTGATTTTCTCCTGACTGTGGCGAAGTAGAAACCTTTGAATTTAACTCTGAAGCTCTCAGAAGGTGTAGAGACAAAACGAGTATCTATAGTCTTGAAATATATCTCAGTACCAAACATTACTGCCTTATCAACGGCTCCCATTTTCCTCCCTCCTTTTACATATAGTACTACAGCGGTGTAAATGGTGTGTCAGTGCCAAGACAACCTTACTGTGGTTCAGCGTACAGCTTAAGGTTCGCCCGGCGCGTAAATATATTAAGCGCCATTATTTAACCGCGCTACTGAATGGCGCAACCGCTAGTATCTTTTAAAGTTTAGTTTTTTAAGTCTAACGTCACTTGAAGAGCTGCCAAGCTCTCGCATCAGCTCTGCTCTTCTCATTCAGATTCGCCGATGCACAAATGTGTTCACTTACTATGGACGGATTCGACGAAGAAACTTTTAAAAAGTTTTTCCCTAGTGGCTTCGGGAAGCAAGATAAGTCAACTAATGTAGAAGCGCAGATTGAACGGACAAAACGAGGTGAAGCGAAATCAAAATCGCCATCCAAATTCGAGGATAAACCTCGGGAAGCCGATGATGTTGAAGTCGAAGAAAAAGAACAGGGAACAACCCCTATGATTTCAAACGCTGATTCAATGTCAAATGAAAAGTCAGATTCAGATTCAGACGACTCGGACGATTCGGATGAAGATGAATTTCCAACATCCCACGAACTTACTTTCAAGACACATGAGCGCGCGGTGACGACAGTAACCCTTGATCCCTCCGGGTCGCGAATGATAACTGGCTCCACAGACTGCACGATAAAACTACATGATTTTGCCTCGATGACACCGACCACTCTCCGTGCATTCAAATCAGTCGAACCGTCAGCAAAAAAGCAGTCCGCAGCATCGGAAATCCACCCTGTCCACGCCGTACGATTCAACCATTTGTACCCAAGCCAGGTTCTAGTCATATCCGCAACGCCTCAAGCGAAAATATTCGACCGCGATGGCGACATGATTACGGAGTTTGTTAAGGGGGATATGTACCTTCGGGATATGCGCAATACTAAAGGCCACATCTCTGAGATCACAAGCGGCACATGGAGCCCTACGGACTATAATTTATGTGTTACGGCGGGAACTGATAGCACATTAAGGATATGGGACGTGAATGTGGGGAGGTCACAAAAAGACGTTATTGTTCACCAGTCAAGGGCGGCTGGGTGTGCGGGCAGGACACGGATGACTGCGGTGGCTTGGGGTACTCCCGCCCAAGGAGGCAAAAATATTCTCGTTGCGAGTGCTCTCGATGGGAGCCTGGTGATGTGGGGAGGCGACGGTCCATTTCTGAGACCAAGCGCTCAAATTCAAGGAGCACATACTAAAGATACTTGGACAAGCGGTCTTGATATTAGCCCCGATGGCAGACTAGTTGTCACCCGGGGAGGGGATGATACTATCAAGCTATGGGATACGAGAAAATTCAAAACCCCCATCACAACCGTACCCCATACTTCTGGGTCCAAGTATTCTCAGAACGCAAATATCATGTTTTCTCCCAGCGGAGCGAATGTCATCACCGGCAGCGAAACTGGAGACCTCCATATCCTGAATCCTGCGACCTTAAAGCCCGAGCTTTCCACGTCAGTCACGCCAGGGTCTCCCATTATTGCTGTGCTTTGGCACGAGAAACTGAACCAGATAATTGCGGGCTCTGCAAACGGGGAAACGCATGTGCTATATAACCCATCAATGTCTCGGAACGGTGCCGTCCTTGTCATGTCCAAAGCGCCGAAACGGAGGCACGTCGACGACGATCCAAACTTTACTACAGATTTATCCCTTGGTCTATCCGCAGATAGCACTACGGGCCAAATCGTTTCAGGTGCTTCTTTCTCCAGCCGACATCCAACAATCGGACTCACTGCCTCGGGCCGACCGCGAGACCCACGTAGACCTCACCTACCCAACAAAACTCCCTTTGCGCAGAGCCAGCCGGACGAGAAGCATATCAAGGAAAACATCCCGCTTAGCTCTATGAGAGATGAGGACCCACGGGCGGCACTACTTAAATATGCAGAACAGGCGGAGAAAGAGCCTGTATTTACAAAAGTATGGAAGCAAACCCAACCCAACCCTATCTTTGCAGAGTTGAGTGAAGAGGAAACCGAAGGGGAGAAGCCGGAGCGGAAACGGGTGAAGCGGGATTAGAATTTGACAACTTTGGCTCTATTTCTTTATATACGGTATCCTTTTTTACTTCTTTCGTTTTAGAGCATACGGATATTGATGGCGACAGGCGTTTGATGCAAATTGTTTAATGATAATAAACGTATGTACTAGTTTGGTGTGTCGGATTCGACTTGTCAGTAGACGGTTTCCGTCTGTACATGTACATCATTTTATGGATTAATTTGGAATCAAGAGATATCCGCATCAATGAAAAATATAAAAAAAATATTATTTTTGTTAAGTCCAGGGAGAATCGTCTCGTTTCGATGTGTCGTTGGGACCCTCTGGCGCTTAAATACCTAGATAGGGTTTGCTGTCACAAGCAAGCCAAGCCATTTTTACCAGGAGTTGGTTAACTACAGCCGCATCAAGCCTCCAACTTTCTGACAGCTCCCGGGCTCAATGCAAGCTTGAAACAAGGCTCACCATCTATCGAAGCCCCGCCATCCAATCCAAGGAAAATATTGTTTGTCCATCTTCGGTAGAACGGGTAGTAGACCACCGGGATATCCCTCCTTAGTGGCGTTCAAGCAAATTATCAATACCTCGCGACGCACCATCCTCTCCTTTCTCCACACCTGCCGGATATCACTCCCTTCATCGAACACCCTCGCTCAAGCTCTAGCAATGTTTTGTACCTTGTATATGATGGCTATGATCCTTCCACTCCGTCAATGAAAGTACGCAATAGCACCCAAATATCACCACAGTATCGGCGCCACCTCACCCGCACCGGCTGACTGACATCCGGGTGGAGATTGTTGTGGTGATCAACAGCACCGATCGCTCTTCAGCCAAGCCATCACTGCGAGGACGGACAGCCAATGCAGAGTTTCGCCTGGGGAAGGCGGGTAAGCGATCACGGCAAAAACCAAGAGGAGCAACTGACTTCCGATTGAACAGAGGCTGGGCAAGCCGGAGGATATCTACGTAGATATCTCTCTCCTCTTAGAGCTCTCCTCTATCGTAAATCCTGGTGGTCGATACCGGAAAGAGGGTGCAATGATGGAGATTAGGGTTCTAGTTGTGTTTGCCCTCGGCTTTCTCCTTGACTCGGTCGTCTCCACACCTTTATCACCCCTCACGATCGGTTTGCTAGGAGACGGAAATACTGGGAAAGACGGCGGAGATACTGGAGGCGATGGGGACGGTGGTGACAGTCCAATGAGCGAGTGGTCGTCTACGATAGGCATTGTTACCGCCATCGTTGGGAACGTTTTTATTTCCTTTGCTCTGAATATCCAACGATACGCACACATACGGATTGAACGGGAATACGAACGCAACCGTCAACGGAATGGTTGGAAGAGAGGTGCTTCCAGGACCACAGTGCCGTCAGGACGGTTATCGTCTAGTAATTTTGTCGCCGTTGCAAACGAAGATGAGGACGAGGCCGCGAATGAGCATGAACGTGCAGGCACGGCTCGGGCGGAAACAAATGGAAGATCTACTAGGTCTGAGGAAATTTCAAGATTTGGATTTCATCCATACACAGACGAGGATGAGGGGGAGAGGGAGAGGGATAACTTCCTCGATGATAGCAACCCGGACTCTGACAGGCTCCAACAGTCCTTCATGTCAGACCGGACGTTAACGCCCCTGGAGAAGAGTCAAATTTCCAATGAACGAAAATCGTATCTTCGATCTCCGTACTGGTGGACGGGCATCATTCTTATGACCGTCGGAGAAGCTGGTAATTTCCTTGCTTATGGATTTGCACCTGCGTCTATCGTTTCACCTCTAGGAGTCGTGGCATTGATTTCGAATTGTCTCATTGCTCCATTCATGCTGAAGGAGACTTTTCGTCGACGAGATCTACTTGGTGTACTGGTTTCTATCGCTGGTGCAGTTACAATTGTGCTCAGCGCTAAAACCTCGGAGACAAAAATAGGCCCCGGCGAGATTTGGGGCATGATAACGAGGTGGGAGTTCGAATTATACCTTGGCCTCACGATCGCTCTTATCTTTGGTTTGATGTGGGCTAGCCAGAAGTATGGGAGGCAGTCTATTCTAATTGATCTGGGTTTGGTTGGATTGTTTGGTGAGTATATATGTACCTGCGTCAGACCCCATATAACGATGAATCTCCAGCTTATCATATTACCAGGTGGATATACTGCTCTATCGACAAAGGGCGTTGCGTCGTTACTATCATTCACTTTATGGCATGTCATCACGTTCCCTATCACATACGCCCTAGTGGCCGTACTTGTTTTCAGTGCCGTCATGCAGATCCGATACATCAATCGAGCCTTACAAAGATTCGATTCTACCCAAGTTATCCCTACTCAGTTTGTATTGTTTACTATTTCAGTGATTCTCGGAAGCGCTGTCCTCTACCGTGATTTCGAGTCCACCACCCTTGCACGGGCAGAGAAATTTATTGGAGGCTGTGCACTCACCTTCCTAGGAGTTTATCTTATCACGAGCGGTAGAAATCGTGGAGATGGTTCGGAATCCGAATCCGAGTCCGATGGCGACGAGGAGGCAATCGGTCTTTTCGATGGAGAACGTTATCGCGACAGCATTGATTCGCAACGTGAAAGGGATCAAAGCCACGCAGCGCCAATATTGGATGGGACTGCCGGTCCGGCTGTTCAAGCTGCCGACTCTCATCCCCGTTCTCTTCTTAGTGATGAGAGCGATTACGCAGAAGACGATGGGATACATACCCCACGAGCTCCGTTGTCTAGCGGTCCTGCCTCTTCCACACAATCAATTTCTGGCGCATCCTTATTATCCGCATCCCCCACCCCCAGCCCAAAGCAATTATTTACCGAAAATCCATGGGCAACAACCCTTGAAGGCCATGGCGAATCAGCGATTGTCTCTGGGCCTCAAACCCCAACTCACATATACCCCCCTCCAACCCAAGTCCTCCTCCAATTCCCATCTGCACCAGGCCTCACTGGATCTCACCCAGACAGTAACCAACAAAGCTCCCCACATACTCCCCCGCAAGCCGCACGATCAAGACCAAAAACACCCCCAACAACAGGTCGCCAACCTCCATCTTCTCGAACACCAAACACTGGATCACGAGGCTCGTTTTCAAAACGCTTCGCGCCTGGTCCACTACTCCAACCATTCTCAGGCACCTTGAGCGCTGTTATTGCAGATTCTCTTCTAAGGGGAGAAGGGTCTCCTCGCAGTCAGCGCGAACGCGCCCTGTCGAAGTCAAAACGAAAAGGCAAAAAGAGAGCATCCATCCCATATCCTACCGACCAAGGCCTAGCGACAAGGTCTAACCAAGAAGGAACCCCGCTAGAAACCGAGTATGAAACGGCCACCAGCATAACAGGTGCCGACGAGGACGAGGTGTTACGCAGAGGTGCCCGCGTGAGCCCAAGACTCCCCGGTTCAAGCACCACGAACCGAACCAGCACGCAAGAGAGAATCCCAACACTGTCTGCGTCACCGCGGCAGAAGAATAAAGATGACACTCGAACGCGTAGTCTTAGCGACTCGTGGAGCGGCGGGTTGGGCTGGCTCAGTGGCAGTATCCGAGGGAATGCAAAAAATAAGCAGAAAAGTAAGGCCGGGCCTTCGGCTGCTGGCGGTCCTGGCGAGATTGGCGATGGCGACGACGCCAGGCCATCGAGAGACTGATTAATCCTTCTATCTCCCCTTCATCTACCTTCTTCTCCTTGCTCGCCACAGATAAGGAATACATTCTAATATGAGCGCATAGTACATATCTGGGTACAGTGGATTGATTTGTGATTTTTTTTTTTTTTTTTTTTTCTCGTTATATCACCTTCGCATATATATTTTCCTTCTGGCGACTTTGTTTACTTTACTTTAAATTTCAACCTTTTCGTCCACACTGCATGCCGTGTATGGTCGGAACCATTCTTCCTCTGTTTTCATCTATTTCAATGTTCATTTTTGTCTCCGCTTTCGATCGGCGGATTATTGTCTATGTCGCCTTTGCTCTCCAGGTTTCAGACCCCTTCTTACAAAGCAGATTTTTGTTCCTACAGAGCCATTGCATTATGCATGGTATCTTCTTCTGCCTTACTGTATTTTTTTTTCTTTTCCGCGATCAATTTAACGGCATTTTGCTCCGGGTTCTGTTTTCTTCCTATTTTGAATCAATGTGCCCCCCCCCCCCCCAATACATAATGCTGTTGTTATATGCAGCATTCTTTCTTTACTTGTGGAGATAAATAAAATAAAGTAAAAAAATAAAGTAAAAAAATAAAAAAATTAGAACACATTGATTTTTAATGCTTCTCTACTAAATGCTACATGTTTCCAGCTCCATCGCAGAAGTAGTAGCGGGTCTAAAAGGAACTTTTCTTTTATGCAGATATGGCCAGCAATCATCATGGGATGGATACATTTTTGAATTAACTAAAGCACCTGCCAGGAGGATTCCAATCATTCAATTGAAAGAAAAGGCTAGTCATCAAGCAAACCCTTCGCACTTTCATCTTCATCTCGTCGTTTTCTTTCACCTTCCCCGGCACCACTACCACCACCCGGCCCTCCTCCTCCGGCTGCTCCTCCTCCAGCAGCAGTGCTATTAGCGCCATCTCTATTAACCGCAGTTGCACCCTCCTCAACAGCAGTCGTGCTGGCAGGTGCAGCTGTAGCAGCACTCTTACTCTTCTCCACCGGCTTCCCCTTATCACCTCCATTATTAGTATTCCCGCCGCCCCCATTCCCCCCCTCCCGCCGCACTCGAGCCCCTTCTTTCAATTTCTCCCACCGATCCCGATACCGCCCCACCACATCCCTCAACTTCTCGTTCTCGCGGCCCACGCGCTGCAACTCCCTTTCACTCCGGCGCGCGCGCTCTTCTAGCTCCATAAGCCGGGCCGCGTCAGCACCAGGCCCAGCCCGTGATGATGGCTGGAGTCCCGCAGCAGCACCCTCCGCTGGAGGTAGCGGTGATGTTGATTGTGTACCCTGGGCATGGGATACCTGAGGTGTAGCAGAGGACATGGGGGAGAGCTGGCGTGCAGGCGAGCTGGCGGATTGGTGCTGCATCGCTTTGAGGGATTGCTGCAATGCCAATGATGACGACTGCGCGTTGACTTCCCACATGTGCAGTCGTTTGGAAAGCGTGTCTGACAGGTGCTTCAGCGCTTGGTTCTCCATTTGCAGTTCTTCTAGGGTTTTTGTGTTTGGGTGTGGTGCAGCCTGTGCCGTGCTGCGCTCCAGTGCGCCCCCTGCTCCTCCTCTCCTCCGTCCCCCAGTTGCTTTTCGATCCCTGTTTGATGCCGTGGCGGTTGCAGAAGATTCCGGGGGCAGCGGGTTTTCACGCGCATCGACGAAGTCGTCGTCGTGGCTGTCGCCTAGGCTGTTTCTACGGGCTTCCTTTTCAGCTCGAGAAAGGATGCCCGCGTACGATATCGTTCCACCCGCCGTAGGGACAACGTAGAATGATTCTGCCGGGTTTGTGTGGCCAGCTGACCCATTTGAGCCCTCTCTGCCTCGAAGAGCCCGAAGTGCGGCTCCTGATACTAGCTTATTCACGTCTGGTTGCTCTGTAAAATGGCTGGTAGTATCTGCGGATGCAGGGCTGCGGTCGAGCTTGGTATCTGCTCCGGATTTCTGGCTGGCTGGATCAATGCCCAGAGGTAAACTAGCAAAAGCTAGGGGTCCAGAGAGTTTGGATATGAGGCCTTCAAAGGTTGAATAAAATCGCTGGAACGATTCATCCTTTGGGAATCCAAAACCGAGTCTACGTGTCTCAGTTGGCTCTGGTGGGACTGCTTGTTGGTCGACGATATCTGTAGGGCTTATTGCCGTTGGAGCCCAAGACGGTTTACGTCTGGAAGACATGCTAGGGAGAGCCTTTAATTCGGCGTTTACGGTATCGAGACTAGTGTCTTCAAGTCTTGTCCGCAATGGAGCGCCGGCCATTTGCGCGCCAGCATTCTGAGCTGATACAGTTGGAGATACAAGACTGCCTCGGGGTGGGTGGGAAGGAATACCACGTGCGGAAGCCAAATTGCTTGCTATTGAGCTTGTATCGCGCTGGGGAGATCTATGTTGAGTGGGTAAACGAGGGGGTTGGTGGGTATTTTCCAGGGATGGAGCTGCAACAGAGGACGATCCTCCACCTACACCTTCAGAGATAAATTTAATATGTTGGGCAGTTGAAAGGGTTGACGGCGGCGAATTTACGGATTCGGGACAAGAGGCTACAGGGTGTTCATGTTGGAACCTGAGGATTTCCGCAAGTCGTTTGTGGTGTTTTTCGAGGAGCTGAAGGGTCCGCAGCGCCTAGAATCCCATCCATATGAGAATATGTACGATTGTGTGTATAGCTACAGAGGCAAGAATCCACATACATCAGGGTCGAGGGTGCCTTGGGCTGCGGTCGAAAACTCGCCAGCAGCAAGGTCATGTTCCTCACTGGCCGCTACCGGGTTAGATTTGCGTGTTTCGAAGAGGGCATTTCGAGCATGGGAATGCGCCTAGACACAGTATTGGAGGTCAGGTTAGCTTCGAGGTCCAGTACCAGGTAGGGTTAGGAACACTCCACATACCAAAGTCAACGGCGACGATTCCATATCTCCACTGACAAGGCCTCTTCAATACGCCCTTCAGCAAATCGAAAATTTAGTATTACGAAGAAATCAGTGGGACTCGAGAGGTTTGAAGAGCTGTGGCGATGAGTTTTGTGCCTGGACTCGGAATATCGAATGTTGATTCTCTCGAGCTGGAGCTTGGAGTCGATGAAGTCACGAGAGCAGCCTTCACTTATCAGATTGCTTAGTCACCTATTGCAGGCCCAAGCGGGACAGAGTCGCGCCGCGTTATTTACATACACCGAATACATGTATGGTACGTGTATGCAAGATTACTCTGTAAATAGATCTCAAGGCATTGCTTGCAGAGGGACTCGGTCAGTCTGTAAAAACAATAATAATACTATAGTTAACTAGAGTCTTCTTACTCGAGAGTCTCGAGTCATCTAGTAAGTAAGTAAACAGTGACCTGTTTGTTGGTCTGGTATTCTATACCATTGGCAGTGTAAATAAGTAACCATGGAAAATGTATCTATGTATTTATTTATCACGTCGCTGATTCCATCGTGGCAGTGGCTTAAGGTCAGCCGCAGGCTGAGACAACAATCTCCAATCGCTTTTTATCAGGCTACGACTTTGGATACGCCGTACTTCGTAATCCCACTTCAGCATTAATATTGTCAGCAATAATGACTGCTCTCCATGTATGTCTCAAGAGGCGTAGCACGATCTTGATACCTCGAAATTAGCGGGTTTCGCAGCCAATAGCTATTCGGATTATTGGAGGGGGAGAGATATCACCGTGGTTGCAGATCTTGATATTCTCCAGGATATGTCATTATTACGACAAGTATCAACTTTCAAGTTTCTGGGAAGCGAGATTGGTTGTTGCCCCATGCACTTACCGATGGCGCCCTACCATTTCGATCGAAATTGTGCCCGTCGGGAATTGTTCATATGTGGCGATGTGCTTCAAAATAATCTAGAAATAGAACTTCGAAGCCCCATCAGCCCCCACCACGGTTTTCCTCTCCATATCCATGGATCACCGCGTATGGGAATTGCTTCATGCAGCTCAGCACGAAATTGCACAAGCGTCAAGGGAGGATCCAGGTCCTTCCATGCGGCGGTCTGGTTCGACGCTGCGTAGCTTCCTATCCACTTCTGTCCAACCCTTCCTACCTGTCAAAACTGCCAAATTCTTGAAGACAGCAGCAGTGTCACCGGCCCCAGCTGCTTGAACAGAGCTGACTGACGCCGGGGTAACAATCACGCCGACAAAACAAGAGCCGCTTGTAAATGTGTCGATGTATGTAGTTCGTCGTATCGCTGAAACTGTATCACTTGTATGTACATACCTAGTACGCACGTACCGTACTCTGTAAAATACACGGTGCGAAGTGGGGGGCCAATCAGGCGTTGCAGAGGGCGTAATTTATCGGTACCCCCCGTACTGGCGTATTCGTATTTCCAATCGGCAACTGCATCCAAGCTTGCTCCGAACATTCCAACACAGCAATCGCAGGGAAGACCAACTTCATCCCAACCGCTCGTCCTGACAACCTCCACGGGCTACAATTCTCCTATACTCATGTCAGCCTGCCTGCTGATCTAACAACCCATGCTGACACCAAATGGGCACAGTCAGCCCCTTTCCTACTCCTAGACTTCTGCTGCGTGAACTTCCCCGAGCACCCACGCCGCCCGCCTCTTCCTAACCAACCAACCTCTCACCATCCATCTGCGCTTCCGCTGCTTGTTTCAGCGTTGGTCTAACCCTCCTCCCCATGTCCCCCGCTCTTTGTGACCTCCAGTCCTCTATCCCATGGCCCGGGATTTTCAGCTCTTTCACTTGAACTACATTTCTCCCCAAATCATTCCCGTTGCAAACCAGTGACTAGAAGGTCTCCGTCGTTTAAGATTCAGTCAACTCCATCAGGAGCGTTCACCGTTCCCTTCTGCTGATGGACGGCGCTACGAGTGAAGCAGCCCCTGCTCCCTCTACTAATGGGTTCAAAAAGACCTTTACAAGGTCGAATCGCAGCAAGACCACCCTCAGCGAATTCGATGGCTCCATGTCAGGGCGGAGTGCCGCTCCTTCAATCGACTCGAATCATGAATCCCCGCGGCCTTCAACTAGCGGGGCAGGCGGAGGAGGCGGAAACAGTTATGATGGCCCGCCTACTGGCATCTCGAAATTGATTCCAGGGTCACGTCGTCGACGCAAGAAGAAGATGGAATCGGAAAATTCTATTGCTCAGGACAACGGGAGTGGAACGGAACTGCATCGTATCCCCAATGAATCTGAAGATACACCAACCATAGGCAATCATAGTACCTCTACAGTAGATACTACGGACCGTGGCCCAAGTAACGGTTCGGAATCTGGAAGGTGGGTTTCTTCCTCCAATCCACCTTATTTTCCTTAGAGATAGCTTTGGCTATTCCTGCGACGCCTCTATCTACATGGCCAACTAACCCCATCTTGAATAGGCATTCGTCTCCTGATTTAGGTCTCTCTCGGGATTCGCTCCAGCCTTCATCCTCCCCTTTAATAATCACGACCACTGCTCCCTCTGATCCAACGGAAACTGCATTAGACGCCAACGGCCCGTCGGACACGTCTTCCGATAGTAGTCGCCATATGATCCGTGCTGCCACCACTGGGGATATGGGAGATTACTCTGGATCATCCAGCGCAAACCGAAAAAGTCGAAACCTTAAAGAAGCTTTCAGTCCTATACCCACGAAAAAAAGTGTGAGCCCAAGCCCTGAGCGCGAAGCTCCGAAGTCGCCGGCGACAAAAACTGGTAGGGGGCTCTTTGGATCTAGGTCAAGAAGATCAAGCTCCTTAGCCAAAAATAGCCGAAAACCATCAGAAGAGGCTCCCCCTTTGCCTTCTCCAATACCCCAACATATAGGAACTTCGAATACTTCCCTTTCCACCCCTGCTAAACCACCGGGCATGGCCTCCACCCCCACGAGCCCTCCTGCCACTTCTATACCTGGCCCCCTTACGACGGTGACTCCACCAACTCCAGTTGGTAGTCGTTCACAAAGTCCAGCACTGCCGTCTACAAATGTTGTGGAAGAGAGCGACTCCGCCTCAAAGTCTCACGACTTACCTCCCAATGCCGTTGTGAGTCCGTCAGGGAATATGATATCTCATAGACGTGTTCGTTCCGCATCTGCTGCCCACAGCCCTAGTAAACTTTCGAACTCCATGACAGCCCCCCTAACGCCTACTGTGGAAGAAGCCAAGACCGCGTCAGGGTTCTTTTCCTCCATGCTCTCTGCGGCCCAGAATGCCGCTTCTAACTTTGGAAACAGTTTGAATAGCCAGGCTCGCACACAGTCCACACCAGAACCTGCGGAGCCAGAAAAATCAAGTACTGATGTTCCTAGCAGCGAAGAGGCCGCGGATTCATCGAGAGATGAGGATGCAATGGAGAAGAAGGAGCTGGCTGTGGAAACGCTCGGGATGGGTGAATTAAATTTCAGTCATCTTGGGATTGACGCATCGGCGGGCGGGGAGATAACTACAAAGGATGGTGTTGTGTTTACGAAAGCTGAGGCTGCTTCCCGTCCTCGTAGAGGAACTGCATCCCAAAGAGATGAGATCTCTGCAAGGATAGAAGATATGCGTGCCGCTCGTGCAGTTTCCATGGCCTATGAGAAGCCGGCAGATGGCGCATCTGCGTCCCAACCAGTCCCTGAGCAACCTACTGCCGACGTTCGTTCCAGTCTCCCCTTAAATGGCCTCGGAAGAGCTAGTACTGGCGAACAAACTCCTCCAGGTGGCAGTATTTTCGAAGGAGAAGTCGGTTCTGGTATCAAGCGCAGCGGTAGCGTACGTAGCCGCCTTGCACGCAGGCATCGAGGATCGTCTGGTGCGACAATTGGTGCGCTTGGCGCTGCTGGATTTGGCTTGGGTATTCCAGGTGCCAATACCAGTGCTCCGCGATTGACGGGCTTTGCTGTGGCGAGCAAAAAGCGAAATCGCGACTTTCATCAGCTATTCAGAAGTGTTCCGGAAGACGATTATCTCATCGAAGACTACAGTTGCGCTCTCCAAAGAGAAATCATCCTGGCTGGCCGTATATACATATCTGAAGGTCATATCTGCTTTTCAAGTAATATCCTCGGCTGGGTAACGACATTAGTAATCAGTTTCGATGAAATTATGGCCGTTGAGAAGGAGTCTACGGCCATGGTTTTTCCGAATGCAATCGCAATTCAAACTCTGCATGCGCGGCATACGTTCCGAAGTCTGCTGAGTCGAGAAGCCACATACGATTTAATGGTTAATATCTGGAAAATCAACCACCCGACTCTCAAGAGCTCAGTTAATGGCACCCGGATAGAACAAGGCACCGGTGACAAAACGGAGAAGACCGATGAGAGTGATGCTGCGAGTGAGAGTCCCTCTGACAAAGAGGACGAGATATATGACGAAGATGAGGAGGATGAAGGCACAAACTTTGTGGACGCCGTTGACGCAAGTACTACTAGCAGTGAAAAATCAGAGTATATAAAACGAATCAGCCGCAAAGCATCCACAATTCCACTGGTGGGGCCTTCCTCGACTCCCCAAGTTACCTCTAAGAGTGAAGCAAAAGTACTAGAGAAAGGAGCTGCGTCAGTGTACTCTTCTCTTCCACAGTTTCCCGGCCCGGCTACCCATCCACCAACGGAGTTTACGGATCCCTCTGGGCGCTACGATAAAGTGATGAAAGATGAAATAATACCAGCACCACTGGGCCTTGTTTATGCCCTCGTTTTTGGCCCCGCATCTGGTGCATTCATGTCAAAGTTTCTTGTCGATTATCAGAAAGTGAATGATCTGCAGTTTGAAGATGACAAGAAGGGGCTATCCGTGGACAACAAAACCCGGGTGTATTCGTATACAAAGCCACTATATGCGCCCATCGGACCCAAGCAAACCAAATGCATCAGTACCGAGAATTTAGACTTTCTTGACTTGGAGAAGGCTGTTTTGGTTACATTAACGACGCAAACTCCTGATGTGCCTAGTGGGAATATTTTCTGTGTGAAGACCAAGTACCTGTTTACATGGGCACCAAACAATGCCACCAGGTTCTACATGACTTGCGCCATTGAATGGTCGGGCAAGAGTTGGCTCAAAGGTTTGTCTCTTCCCCGCATTTCTTAACAGTAACAAGCGATGCTTACGAAATCACAATAGGTCCTATCGAGAAGGGTGCAAACGATGGTCAGACGATTTTTGGAAGCGACCTAGTCAAGGCACTTAGAGTGGGTGTAGCTCCTCGTTCGCGCGACACGACCCCTCCGAAAGGTGCTGGGAAAGGAGTCAAAGGTAAGCGGAAGGGAGCAAATGCTGTCGAACTCGAAGTTGCAGCTAGCGGAAAAGCTGCTTCAGAATCAGGGAGACAACAAGCTGAGGATTGGGGAATGCTGGAACCTTTACGTGGTCCTCTCGGCCCGATAGTCAACATTTTCAAGCCCTTTTGGAGTGGTAATGTTGCTGCTGGTGTTATCGCCATAGTATTAGTAATGGTTTGGTTCCGCAGTCCGCCTCCATCTCGCCTGGGACCGTCAGGGGTCGGCTCCCCATTACTTTCTATCCCGGAACGAATTATTGCGTATGAAGAACTTTGGCAGCGAGAGGAAAGCGAATTATGGAACTGGCTGGAGGAGAGAGTTGGAATGGACGGGCTCGCATACCCGGTCGTAAACCCCCTTCCCTCATCTGACAAAGGCGACACTGTCGACCATTCAAGAGCTGAGAGGCAGCGGCAAAGACAACAACTTATGAGCGAAAAGGAGCTCGAAGCGCGCCTGAGGAATGAAAAGATGACAAAGCTCGAGATGGAGGATGCGATTAGTATAACTCAAGAACGGCTTGATATGCTCAAGGCTGTTATGAAGCGGAAACGCGAGGATGAATGATAACCCAGGCCCTACCCAAACAGTATCATCGAAAACACGAACACCAATAGTAGTTCAAGGACGTCGAATTTTAACTTTCGAGTGCCATTATTGCCTCTGGTATTAAGAAAAGCATGAACGGAAAAGGCGAAATACTGCAAGCCGTTTTAACGATTTCTTTTGTTTTCTGCACACTGCTCTCTCTCTTATTTATTTTTTTCACATTGTCTTCTTCTGTATTTGGTAATTGCACCCTTGGTCTTTGTCCGCCCTATTCGTTATTTTTTCCCAGTGACACCCTGAGGCGTTCTTCAACTCTTTTCTGTTTGTCATTTCACTTCTCTCTCTCATTTTGCGTATTGGTCGACATCCGGCGTCTACTTGGTGCTCTCTCTCATTGTTTTTTTTTTTTTTTTTCTTTTTCTTTTTTTCTTGTTCTATTTATTTCCCAGCTTCTTTTCCTCAGAACAGCCATGCTGCTCCTACTGTGTGAAACTATATACCAACCTCCGCCTTTGTTCCGAAGCACCTCATTTTTGGTCACCCTTGATTGTACCACTTCTGGCTTTGCATTTCCTTTTTCTCTTGTCTCCAGCGGATTGTCATTTCTTCTTCCAAGAGTGGTAGGGGAGGGCGAATTGATCAGTGGTAGTAATTAAATATATTCATTCTGGTCATACGTGCTTATTTTCGTTCGCCCCTCCTTTTACTGCGTGTGATATCGATATTTATCCTATGTTGTGTTTTTTATAAAGAAAAGTTCGTTGTTTCTTAGGCGCGGCTTCTGGGTCTCACTAGTTCCATGACAGCTTTGACTGCTTGCTCTGTCTCTCTGGATAGATAGTGCTTTTCTATTTATATGTCTGTGTTAAGGAGTATTGGGTTGGTGATGGGGTTGCAGGAGTGAGAATTAAGCAGCTATATTTTCATACTATCTTGATTACCGGCGCCGTTACGTGTGTTGTGTGGCAATGTTCGTTCTGGGAGCATATTGCCCTACCCTACACAAACTCCATATGCGATAGATCTGTTTTAAATTGAAATATATATATATAAATCCAAAATAAATAAATCCACTTGTAGTGGAAAAAATAAAATCTTCTCCCATAGGGGGAATCGAACCCCCGGCTAGCGTGTGAGAGACGCTGATGTTAGCCACTACACCATATGGGATGTGACTTCGACGTGGGAGCTGACTCCCACTGGAAATTATAGGATCCTCATCACGTGCTCTTGCAAATTCAGTTTAGAGTAAAGCCGAAATAAAGATATTTTATGCTGGGTAATCACAAAATATTTTTAATTCTGAAATGTCCGATGGGTGTGGCGGTGTTGGTGTTGATTAGATCTGCTGCTAGGAGTATGGAGTATAGATTGATTTATATAGGGGTTTTTTTTTTTTTTTTTTGCACAAGCTCTATGTAGACTAAGAATGAGAGAAGAAGTTGCCAAAGCGCGCACGTATCACGAGGGAATCATAGTGATGCACCATCCTAGTACAAAGTATTGATATTAGAACTCAAATGCAGAGTGCTCAAAAACGCCGTTAAAAAGACAGGAGGCGACAGGGATATATATAAAAAGGAGCTACCGAGCTCAAATACTTCATAGCAAACATGGAGGAAGCCGCGAACCACAATGCAGATATTGGACAAGCCAAGCCCTCACTATCGAAACAAATTAAAACACACGAAAATTAAAAGCCCGGCCTCATACGCCCATTCCTTCATTCTTTCATTCCCTCGAAGCCCTCTCCCTCTCCAACCCTCTCTCCACATCCACCATGAGGCCCTTCAGCTCCTTCGCCGGTTCACTCCTAGTCCCCTCAGCATCCAATCCATTAGAAATCCACTCCTTAGCCTCCTCCCATCTTCCCATCTCAATCAAGCATCTACCCCCTCTCCACCACGCCTTCCCATTATTCGTCGGCGATATCTCAACGCTCGATTTCGCATCCACATAACCCTCCGCCCACTGCTGCTGAGCCATATATGCCTGTGCTCGATTCGTAAAGAGTGGCGGTAGCTCATCGCGCACGAGCCCGACGTGTTCCCACGTAGGTCTGCCTAGGGCCATGTCGATGGCATATGTGTAGAGCTTGATGGCTTCGGCGAAGGAGGATTTGCGGAAGGCTGTGTTGGCCGTCTCGCGCAGCTTGGCGATTTGTGCGCTGCGTTTGGGGTTCACAGGTTTTGGGGGTGGGGGTATATTAGGGCTGTCGAGGTTGAGGAGAGCGCGGTGGAGTTGGTTTAGGGATTCGAGTTCGCGGTCTAGGGCGGCGGAGCTGCAGGAGGGGGCGGAGATGGCTTTTGAGGTTGGGTCCAGGTGGAGGGGATATTGGGTGAAGATATCGGCACCGGGAGATGCCATTGTTTCTATAGGCGAAGCGATTTGTTTCGTTCTGGAGTTTGCGGAGTATGCTGGACGGAAATATGTTCAAGTTCTATGTATATCTTCTTAACTTGGATTGAATTGGGGGAGCTGTTGGATAAGAACACGGTTTTTGAGCAATTATTATAGTAACGTACGTACAAAGACTGCCACAAGCCACTAACCTTTTCTTAATCTATCCCTTCCGCAGTAGAATTTTTCAGGTCGAGGTCCGGATGGATAGAGAGCTGCTGCTGTTTATCTAGCAACGTTGTCATTCTGACCAACTGGCCCTGAAATATTTAACTAAGCGGTCGCTTGTTAGTAAGCCACGAAGGACCCAACTCAGCCGCGCTACCATGGGAGTGGAGAATCTTATTTTCCAGATCTGCTAATTTTTTTTATTTGTTTATTTTTCTTGCAGTGCCCCTAACTGATAGAATATCCGACATACAAGACTTTCCGAGCCGATATTAAGCAGCGAGTACAAGCAACTAACTAGGTTGTGGATGAGATAGAAGGCTCTACTTGTTCCCAAGAAGCATACTCGACAAGTGTATCCATACCATTCCCCCGTCCCTCTGGGCGCCGTAACTAGTAGTTAGACAATGCTTGTTCCAGCTTTCCTCCACATTTGCGTAGTTGTTCTTCCTCGCTCAGCTATTCCCCACCTGGATTTCCTCCTCCTAGGCCGAACTTCCCTGAGGTAGAATCTCAAAGTGTCTTATGACCTCCGGGGTGCGCTTCGTCAATTCGTTATTGTCTCAAGCGAAATTCATCCGCAACCTCCATGATTAGGTGATGATAACCGCTCCATGACAATCCACTGACTCCGGGCCAGCTTCGTACATCGCTTTTCCATAGGTTCTGTGCGCGAGCAAGAAATATGTGCCAGCGATTCGGGGGCACTTGCCCGTCTTCCGACGAGCTATGGCATTCTAGGTAGTGTGCAATGAATCGTAGATGCTCTTTTATAAGGTAAAGCGCGTAGTTTTCATCCATACAAATCTGCATCAGGTCTGAAATTCCGATGTCCTCCGAAACACACTTTTTTATGATTAGGAGGGCCTTGCAGAATTCCATGAAATACACTTTCGCATCATTGTATGTGCTAGGGGATAGACGGCTGCTAGTTTCAAATTGTTCTTCCATGGAGGTAAGAATACAAGCGTCAGTGATAACGGCTTTCAGTTTATATACATATTTCACAACGGTGCTTTCGAGATAGGATTACCTCTAGAACCAGTTTCCTCTTGATTGTAGCTTTTCCCATCTATCCTCTCCCATGGCTTTCCCAGAGCGGTGGTCGCAAAGCAGATCTCTAAGGGACAGGTCGTCATCGGAGTCATAGTGGGATGTTGATCTGACTGTAAAAAATGAAAAGGGAAACTTAGTGCGATGATGGAACGATGTGTGAACAGTGATATCTGACGATAAATCATGACCACTGCAGGGAGGAGAATCGACTGTAATGAGAAGCCCTTCTAAGCATGCGGAAAAACTAGAGACGGCTAGGCTCAGGTGGATACGACAGAACCTGGAATTTTCCCATATTTCGATACATAAAACCTAATGCCCGGAAGTCTCTGAATGCTGGTATATCCGGCCATGAAATATATTCTTTTTTTCCCTAATATCAACGCCAACACTCTCCGGTAGAGCCCAAGAGATTGGTGATTGAGGTTTTTCGGAAAGAGGGTGTCACTTTAGGAGGTAAGACCCCCCTCAACGGCAAATTCCATACGTTTCATATTCGCCGTAGGGATGTGTAACGTGAGGACAATTAGCCGATACTGAACCGATGATATTTGGGTGCCACCATCGCCTTGAGAGTCCTCAATAGGAAGCGTATAAAAGACTTCCACTAGAAAGTATTTGGCTCATAGCTCGAGCCGGTGTCGATAGCAACGCGATAGGCATGTCGGAGAGTTCAAACACTGATCACTATGTATCTCGATGTTGAGGTTTGGCCCCGCCGGATGATGTAGTGTAACGATAGGCAAGATATAGACCTCCTTGGGTTGCTACCTTAGAAGTGGGATATTGAAATTGAACGAAAAGGACGAAATTTCTGCTCCCTAGGAGACAGTATAGCATAAACGCCTACCACGTTCTGAAAGACTTTTGTACTTCAGAACCAAACCAGATACCATCCTGAACCTCATTTCAAAAATATTCTCCAAAACTTGAAAACGAGGGCCCCGGCAAGTCCCATGCAGATTCTGAATATGAAGCGAACTGAGCAAGGGGAGCCTCCTGTTCTATACGCAGCGTATGGTGGGTTCAACTGAAAGAGACTAGCGCCTGCTGAGGCTTGTCGACCGGCGCGTTGGCGCCGATAAAAAGAAGAATAATCCATGTTCAGATAAATATTGCTCGAATATCAACAGCATCTTCTTCGAATTTGTTGCCTCTCATGCTGTCATTAGGCTCATTCCCTTTCCTGGCTGTTCGCTCATGCAGATATTTAAATCTTGCAACATGGAACCTCTCCAAATGCAAACTGGTGTTACACCAATCACCAACCCTTCATTGCAGAATAAACACAATGTCAACTGCCCTAGCAGACTCTAGGGAGTACGTTAGCCAGTCTGGCCAAAGTTATAGGATTGAACAGGTGCTTCAGGAAGAGACATCTCCCTCACAGAAGATTTGTCTTGCTGCGTGAGTTGACACTGATTACCCCTTCTTGAGATTATTTACTCACAACTTCCACAGTGCTGGCAACTGAAAGGTCATATTGAAGTATATTCACATGGTTAATTCCAGGGACCTTCAAGAGATAAATAATAGGCTACACAGCAGTGCTAATCATGTCCGCCTTGTCCAAGACACCATCCCTGTTGGGGAAGAGTAGTTGGACGATGGTGTGGATCCCTTGGCTATTGTAATTGAGCGCCAAATTTCGTACTTTGCAGATGAAGATGCACTGAATGGGTTTTTGAGATACCTTGGTGATAATCCCTGGGTTTGGGATTTTGAAGTAATTCAGGATGGTTTCAACAAAGACAACCTGCACAGATCATTTTTCCTTTGGAAGAGTGTTGATGATGATTTTAAAAGTGCAATGAAAAATTTTGATCTGGAAAAGAGGATCACTGCTCGCGAGGCGTTGGCACACAAGTGGTTTGAGGGTGTTTAAGTTGGAGGCCCTCTGGTGTTTTCTCTCTATATATTAAAGAAAAACCAACTTTTCCGTGCAAAAAACACTGTAACATCACATGCACCTCATTAGTAGCACCTGCTTAGTGACATTGTGTCAGAATGAATATCACGGATGAATATGTTGAAGACATATGAATCTTATGTGTATCAAGATCTGCTTCTTATATTATCCGTGCACTATCTATTATATCTAATTTCATACAAAAGATAGAGAGCTATCTCTCTATATATTATAGAAAAACCAACTTTTCCGAGTAAAATGTAGTACTCTGTGATAGCTGATCTGAGAGGGGATGTTGAGAGTTCTGGGTTGATTGGCCCTTCTACCAGCAGTGCGCTGGTGGTGACTGAGCACTTCTAGAGCTCATTCTTTCAAGAGCTTACTGTCAGATCACGTGATCCGGCTTACTAATCCTTCCACCATATAACTTCCCACAAGCTAGCAACCTTTCAATCACACAAGCTTTACACCTTCCACAGGTTATGAGACCTGTTTTGCGCAAAAATCGCTGCCAATTCGGGATTCCTTGTCAATAATCATTATTTTAACTACTGCTTCATTCGATACACCCATCAGGTGTTAAAATTGTCTTATTCTATCAGTATTGATGTGTTTGAGATCTTGTTGATCAATAATACTACTGCTCGCTTAAAAAAGAGGCTTGCAGAAAACACACCACATTGCAAAAAAGCAAGAAAAGAAAGAGAACAATATTGGCAAGGATCCAATAAACGAATTTCAAGATGGCGGATTCAACACGATCTCGCCCACACACACATTCGCGATCTCGCGTCCTACCCACTGGTTCAGTTGATGATGATTCTTCACACTCACGATCTGCCAGTGGACATCCTCCTGGAGCATTTGAAAGCTCCATTGATGAACACCCCGAAACACCCTCTCGATTCGAAGCTGGTTTGAATACAGCTCCTGACACGGTCAGGCCGGCCCCCCGATCTACTCAACAGCTTGATGCTGGTTCTCATGAAGTCTACCGTTCGGGCGAGGCAATATCAGACCAACAGATGGAACATCTCAAGATGACATTTGAGATGGAGAAGGAGAAGCGAAGAGTCCTAGAACTCGAATTACAACTGGAAAAACTCCGTCAACAGAGATCCTCTACGGATCGACCACAGGATGTCAACAATCATCCTGCCACCACCTCAACAGCCCGTACAGCCACATGGGATCCTAATCTCGGTGAAAGGTTGGAATTCAACCTTTATGAACCGGATAGCCGAGTTGGCAAGGCAATCTCCCAATTCAAGGAAGATGTCAAGAATGCTGTGAGGCCAAACAGTCTAACTGGCACATCCAACTACACTACATGGAGCATCTTCATGAAAGCGAAACTGATTGATGCACAGTGTTGGTATATGATAGAGAAACGACAGACACAGAACCCTCTACAAAGAGATGCTGAATGGGCACCATTCTGGGACGCCAGAAACCGGTGGCTCTATACATTCATCTCGAACTCATTGGGTGCAGGTGTCAGACCATGTTTCTCCAAATATGATGAAAATCGGATCGCTTATACCCTCTGGAATGCGATCGAACAGGAATACTCTATCCCAAAAACACAGTTACGCCGTGAGGCAGTTCTGGAATTCATGTCACTTGGTGGCACACAGGTCACCAATCTACACACGTTCTTTGATAAGTTCCGGTCCGCCATCACGAAATTGGAGATGATGGATGCTTCCCCCCCAGATGCGTGGATATTTGATACCTTCTACTCAGTCCTACCCAACAATTGGAGGGATTATGTTCAAAAGAAGATAGAGGAGATACAGGATTCCAAATCCACGGCTGTGGTATTGGATGTTGATCTTCTCATGGAGGAGATCCGCTCGCGGCTTGATCCTCCGAAAGATAAAAAGAATCTACAGAATACAGATTCTGCGGCCAACTCCGCTACAACAGCTACAACAGCTACAACAGCTACAACGACCACTACACCTACCAATTCTAACAACAATACATCGAATTCGGCCCGTGGTGGCCGTACTGGATGTGGTCGTGGTAGTTCACAAGGGGGCTCCCGAAACCATCGGGGATCGGGCAATCCACCTACATGTCCTGAATGTGAGAGATCTCACTTTGGCAACTGTTGGTTGGTCAATCCAGACAGTGCTCCGGATAATTGGAGGATCTACAACGCTGCAAGGGTAAAGGAATTCAAAGAAAAGAAGGAAAAGAACAATAGTGAGGGTAGAACTCAACTATTCATTACAGTTTCTAGAGTACACTTCTAGAATGTCTCTTAGTACTGTTTAAATATTCAGAGTATTTGTTTTTGAAATTTATATTCTTAAGTCTATTCTGGAATTGAACTCATGCATGTTGATCACAGCAGAGCTCACACTTAACAGTCTCATAATCTGTAGACTACTGAGACAAAAGAGCTCAGTTATTATCAGCACACTGCTAGTAGAAGAGCTGATTCTGAGACTCTCAATATAAAATGCTCTGTAATATAACCTTATATAATATCACATGCACTTTATTAAATGAGTATGAACAGCTGACTCTGTAGTCTGTATAATATTAATCTTTATTCTTTTCTTTACAGATGTTCTTTACTATATTTACAATCTTTATACTCTTCTCTACTACATTCATTACAGCCTATACATTCATTATTAATATACTCTATTTATTAGAGAAAAATCAACTTTTTCATATGAAAAACATTGTAATGTGACATTATATACATTCTATTAAAATATTTTAAATGCTCTGACTTATACAGCTCAGATCAATCTTCAAATCTTTATTCTTTTTTTCATTCTACTCTTTTCATACATTCTCTACAGTATTTACATTTCTTATACTCTTCTCTAAATCTGATAATAGTGATAGAGGTGATACAGAGTGAAAGAGAGTGATAGAGAGAAAGAGTGATAGAGACAGTAAAGAGACTAGAGAGTGAAAGAGATGAAAGAAGTAGAAGAGATAGTAGAGGTAATACAGAGTGAAAGAGAGTGATAAAGAGAGAGAGTAATAGAAGAAGACAGTGATAGAGATAGTAAAGATGGTAATGATGATAGAGAAGGTAGAGAGTAAGAGAGTAGAGAGTGAAAGGAGTGAAAGAAGTGAAAGAAGTGATATGAGGTGAAAGAAGGTGATAGAGAGTGATAGAGAGAGAGAGAGTGGTAGAGGCTGTAGAGACAGTAGTGATGATAGAGAGAGTAGAGAGTGAAAGTGGTAGAGGGGGTTGCGGGGCGGTAGAGGCGGTGGTGGTGGTAGAGGAAGTAGAGTAGGGAGTGAAAGGGGTGATACGGGGTGGAAGGGGTGGTAGGGGAAGAGGGTGGTAGAGGTAGAGAGAGCTGAGGTTAAGTTTTCTGTATATTGTGGCGGACATATTACTTGCGAAAACAGAATTTTCCCAGCCCCCCCTGAAAATTAGTAGCAAAACACCACCAAAAAATCAAAATATCCGCATTTCTCTAGAATCATTCAATATCATCCAATACATGTCTTTTTCAATCAAATATCATCCAAATACGCGTCTTTCTTACCTTTATCATCAATATGTCACCTCAACTCTGTGATTTCATTATCAACAAGATTGTACACCTTAAGAATGATTATATGTCTGCTGAGATCGCGCGAAGCATTGATTATCACCTGTGTATATTGAATTCAATGAAATCTTCACTGTTTTGAAACTGCTAGAGAACTCTGTTCAACATGTGATATAAAGTCAAAGATTATATCAGATATCTCTTCAATTCTGAAGAGATTTGATGAAGATTTTGAAGCTTTTTTATATCATGCAGTTGAGAACTTCATAAGAGAAAAAGATATAAAAGAATATTTCAGATCTACTTATATAGAATAGTATTATAATAATTAGAAAGATTCAGATTACAATTCATTATAATATAAATTTAGAAGTGAAAGTAGTATGAGATCTGTTCTCATCACTATAAATAGTGAATAAAGATGATTTGAATTTCTGCAATTTTGTCTGTTATAATGGACTTTTTAATCCATCTCTTATAATTTGAAATATACTCTTGTCAATATTCATATGAAGCAACTGTTCCCTTGTCAATCAATTGAAGTATTCATCAAATTGAGGTATTGGACTGCTTTGAATTGGAGATGGAACAGTGGATTCGATGGAAGATTCAATGGTGGATTTGATGGAAGATTTCAACAGTGTATTCGATGGAAGATTTCAACGGCGGATTCGATGGAAGATTCAACGGTGGATTCGATGGAAGATTCAACGGCGGATTCGATGGAAGATTCAACGGTGGATTCGATGGAAGATTTCAACGGCGGATTCGATGGAAGATTTCAACAGTGTATTCGATGGAAGATTTCAACGGTGGATTCGATGGAAGATTCAACGGTGGATTCGATGGAAGATTTCAACGGCGGATTCGATGGAAGATTTCAACAGTGTATTCGATGGAAGATTCAACGGTGGATTCGATGGAAGATTTCAACAGCGGATTCGATGGAAGATTCAACAGTGTATTCGATGGAAGATTCAACGGTGGATTTGATGGAAGATTTCAACAGTGTATTCGATGGAAGATTCAACGGCGGATTCGATGGAAGATTCAACAGTGAATTTGATGGAAGATTTCAACAGTGTATTCGATGGAAGATTCAATGCCGGATTCAATGGAAGATTCAACAGTGAATTTGATGGAAGATTTCAACAGTGTATTCAATGGAAGATTCAACAGCGGATTCGATGGAAGATTTCAACAGTGTATTTGATGGAAGATTTCAACGGCAGATTTGATGGAAGATTTCAACAGTGGATTTGATGGAAGATTCAACAGCAGATCTGAATGTGGATGATAATGAGATTGTGAATTCAGTTCTTCTATTCCTTTCATCATATATTTCATCATCATCACATTGATTATCTCACTTGAGAATGTCATATTGAATGAAGTTGAAGCTGCCAGAGCTGAAGAAGGGAATATAATCACTGACATTTGAGAGATCTGTATAGAAGAATTGATTGTAGAAATTATAGATTCATTCTTCTAATTCTTCTTCTTCTTTCTACTCATTAATCATTTTGTCATCTCTCTTGTTCTTTATCTCATTGATAATCACCCATTCATACAATCTGTATGAGATGTCAGACTCAGGTGTAGAGATTCGCGGATATCAAGAATCCTCAGACTGAGTCTCTATATCCTTCTCATTCATCTGCTCCTCCATCTCATCATTGACTGAATCCTCTCCATTATCCAGAACTTCTGAAACAGGTAGTTTGGGGAGACTGAGATGCAGGGCAGGAGTCTCTGTACAGGCTTGCGAAGCAGCAGGACAGCAGGTGTTATGAGGCATATTGAAAAAAGGGTTGATTGATATATGTGGATTTGATGATAAAGATAAGAAAGACGCGTATTTGGATGATATTTGATTGAAAAAGACGCGTATTGAATGATATTGAATGATTCTAGAGAAATGCAGATATTTTGATTTTTTGGTGGTGTTTTGCTACTAATTTTCAGAGGGGGCTGGGAAAATTCTGTTTTCGCAAGTAATATGTCCGCCACAATACTCGTAAATAGCTTTATTTTAATATAAAATTTATATTCTTTTTTATATTCTCATTATTTTCATTCATTATATTATTTTCTAATCTTGAAGAGATTCAGTTCTTAAACTGTTCACTCAAGTTCTCAACTCATTATTTATCACAAGTGAATGATCTGTTAATTTGAAGAAATCAACTCTATTCACAAATTACACACAGTAGAGCTGTCAAATCACAACACACACTCTTACAATTCTCAGGATCTAATATAAATGACAGATATATCACAGAAACATCACATTCTACATGATTAATTGCTGCTGGATAATTTGTTTCTGAGGTATCTCTGTCTTGGCAGCAGACAAGGATTTCGAGCGTGTCTATGTCAGTATATTCCAGGCGAGCAACGAGCAACGGTGGCCCTGGAAATCTCTCTTAAATGAGGGTACAGTGTCATGTCCATCCCGTCAAATCCCTCCTGCGCAGGAACATGGCACTACTGCGCTGGCAAGGAGGAGTATTGATATATTTTGCCGCCCGAGTGCTGCTATTACCAATTAACCAGCCAAGCTGACCGACCCTTTGTTACTATTCTTATTGACACCTGAAAACGTTAATGAGCGACTCTGCAGGACAATCTCCTAAGCTGCATATGAGCAATGGGATTTTGCAATTGAATATGTGATTATTAGCCCTTGGGCTGAACCCTCCAAGTTGCTTCTGATCAGGCTATCCCGGAGGGCTCCCGCAGTCAGTCCCGGGCGTTACGGTATTCAGAACCTACATGTATTCTAGAACCTTTTTGGCGCAGCAGCAGCTAGGTGACTTTTTGTCGGGGCAGTGGCACAGTCGCATTGTTATGCATATATCTGGTGCCTCGATATTTCGTCCATTTGTGTGCTTTTTGCTGTGTCATATAGACAGTGCATGCTCATGCCGGACCGTATGTATGCTACGGGGGGGCATTAGCGGGACGCATACAATTACTGCAAGCCTGAGATGTATATAATATATCCACAAGTTCTTGCTGCTTTTCTTTCTATGGAAATTGTTGATGTTTCTGGTCCAGACAGGGTCGGGCATTTCTTGCTACCCAAAAGCCCTGAGCCCCATTTCTCCCACGCTTGTTTTACGAAAATCATGCGGTGTTTGGGGATTGTCAACATCGCGGCTGCGTTCCTATTTACTCTGGCCAGCTCTGGATCTATCGAGAAACGCAGCGGATTCTCAATCCAGCAAGTTTCAAAATGCAGACCGACTCCTCGTTCCCCAATGGAAGAATATGCGGTGGCCATTCTGAGGGCAGATCATGCAAACCATGCCAAACCAAAAGGGGTACTGGACATCATCAACGATCTCCTGGATATCATCATGTACGAAAGGTCTGTAAATCGGACTGTCTCAGCCACCCCAGAACCATACGATAACGAATATCTCAGCCCTGTGAATGTTGCGGGAAAAATTATGAACTTGGCACTTGATACTGGATCTGCAGATCTGTAGGTACTCTTCTAGCAATGGCTGAGAAGTAAAAACAGGGCTGACGCTACATACACTAGCTGGGTATTTTCATCGCAACAACCCTTGGTAGAAAGGGCTTCACACGACTTTTATACACCCCTGCCAGGGAAGTTACCCATGAATGGATCTTCTTGGGAGGTAAATTATGGAGATGGTTCATTCGCAAGCGGTAACGTGTATATTGATAGAGTTTCTATCAACGATGTGGTTTCGCCCTCACAATCCATCCAGGCCGCCCAGAAGGTCGGCGAGACGTTTATTGTTGACTCTAATTTGGACGGCGTTCTTGGACTTGCTTTCCCTTCCGTTAATAACGGTAAGAATTTTAACTAAAAAAAAACCTTGCTACCAGCATATTTTAGCCTTTCTCCAATGGCATTGATACTTTAAACTTGCTAATTATGATTCCAGTTCGGCCTGAAAAACAACTCGGCTTCTTTGACAATGTTAAAGATACGCTTCCCGAACCCCTTTTTGCCGTATCCCTCAAGAAAAACAAGCCCGGAACGTTCGACTTTGGCTTTATCGACGATGATAAATACAACGGCAACATTACATATACTCCCGTCTATGACAGTGGCTTCTGGTCTATCAGCACCACGGGGTATGCTATTGGTAACTCTACTAGCAATACCAGCACTCCTATTAAAGCCTTTCTTGGTAATTAGGATCCATAAATTAAACCCTTCTTTCTTTTTTATATAATATCGTAGAAGCTGGTATGCATTGCACCCGGAGTCAACAAAATTAACAGCTCTGCCTTCACACACATCCAGACACAGGAACTACCCTGATGCTCCTCCCCGAGCCCATCATAAACGATTACTATTCCCAAATTCCCGGTTCCGCAAAAATATCTGGCCTCGCAAATGCGTTTTTCAACGGTTGGATGTTCCCTTGCAACGCCACTATCCCGCCATTTTCTCTCATCATTGAAAACAATTATCGCGCGACGATCCCTCCGGAACACATTATCCTACGCCCTTTATATGGAGATGGAGATACGCCAATGTGCTTTGGTAGCATGCAGGCAGCGATTCATGAGGTTGTTTTTGGGGATATATTGTTTAAGAGTCAGTATGTGGTATTCGATACCGTGGGGCCGAGAGTAGGGTTTGCGAGGCAGGCGCAGTCGCAGCAGAAGTTAGAGGAGCATGTAGTAGGATAAAGAACTTAACTAATTTGGAGTCAAATGTACGATATTTGTCTGTGCTTTAGAATATTCATTTCATTTCTTTCTTTCGCTTAGGGATCCTTTCAGGAGATTGTTTCACAGTTGCTGTTCTCACACCCATTTTTTGTTCAATAATCTAATCATTGAGTATTATTGTGAATACTGCAAAGAGCAAAGAAATCAGAACATTCTTCACCCCATCCTGAGATGTTTAAAAAAAAAAGGTGGCAATGATACAGACATGAAGCTTGAAGGAATTTACATCAAAACATGATAATATTTCTGGAATTATCATACCATTCACACACGGTTCATATGGCATTTGCAAAGCACAAATTTTCAACAGAAGTAGATGTAAGCATAAAGGAAGGAAAAGAAGCGGTGAAATCAAAACCACTTTTGCCATAAGTCACCCGCATAACTTCGTTCTTTCATCATCACACAACCCTACTAACGCCATCCCCTTTCCTTCCTGGATCCATTCCGCTGCCACAAAATGCACCCTCTATTCCCACGGCAACCTGACTCGGTGACCGAGCCCAGCTCGGCTTAACATCTAGCGCGGGATTGCGAGCGAAGAAATTCCTCGGCCGTAGCGATAGCGACATAGGCTCCGCAGGCATAATGGGAAAATCCTCTGGGGACGGGAAGTGCGTGATTCCGAATGTGTGCCAGAGGACCACGTCTGTGTTTTCGATGCTGGTGTTAGAGAATGAGGGGGCAGAGGAAGCTTCGCTGATCCAGGTTGGGAGCCCGGGGGACAGAGAGGGGCTATCAGATGTCTGTGGCACGTGGCGGCTGGCCGGGTAGAGTTGGTCGTCCGCGTCTACGTGGAGAAGAGTGAGGTTAGTGGTCGCTTATTAATTGGTGTATGTGCGAGGTTGAAAAGGACGGCAGGAGGTCAAAGAAGGGAGAAAAAGAAACATACACTTGGTAACATGGACTGCATGTCTAGCGAAGCCGGCACGGTTCCATACTAACCCACCCTCCCTGGGTAGAAGTGCGGGCACCCCCCGGCTCACTAGCTTGAGGCCAACGGGCTTCTTGCTGTGCGGATTCAATTTATTGGTGTTTGCAATATCCCATGTGCGACTACTTGCTCCGTCATAGTCAGCCATGGCCTGTAGTGGAGTTGTGTGTTTGGTTCTCTTTGGATAGAATGCGTTTCCCTGTTTTCATTACTACCAACTTCACCGGGTCCCCGGGTAGCATCGACTTGGAAGATGGTGTTGTTGGGGCCGTCAACGTTGGCATTGATTCGCAGGCAGAAGAGATGCTGGTGATTGTGCGCGTTGACGCCTGGATACACTTCGTTCCCTAGCCGAGTGTGTCTTCACCTGGGTTCATGGCGTATGTGTTTAGAATGCCGGTGAGTTTGATGTCAAGTTGGATGGTACCGTCCTGGTGGAAGATCCAGTACACGCAGTATTCATAGTTCGTGGCGGTGAATATGTGTGAGATGATGAGCTTGAGGCCGCGAGTCACGATGACAGAATCATCTCGGAAATCTGTGTGTTTGAATAAGATACCGGCATCCTCCTCGTGGATACAGATGGCATTTTTGATAGTAGTGCTCGAGTCCGCGGCGTTGACGAAATCTGCACCCATGTGGTGGATGACGCCCTTGCAGTCACACCCAAGCGATAAGCTGTTGGTCATGTACCCGCCACCGTACTCTCCTAAGTCGAAAGCATGTTTTCGGTGATGGGGGTGCTCTGGGTTCCCGTATGGAACTACCATCCCTGCTAATAAGAGGCGGTAGAAAACGGGACGTATAGTTCCCTTGTCGTTGAATGTGATATTATTTAGTACAATGCCTTCACGGTAGTTGAAGCCAACATGAAGGTTCCAATTTTGCCAGTCAATGACTCGACCGTCTACTTTGAAGGAGACGCCTTCTGGCTGGGTGAGGTGGATGGGTTTCACGGCATCACGGTAACCACCTTGCCTTTCAATGGATTGTACGTCGTAGTTATTAGGTGGAGCTTTACTGATCGGTCTCAGCACACGAGAAACGTCGATGTGGATAAACTCTTTGGTTTCAGGGCTGTAGATGGGACAGAAGTCTAGTGGATATGCATACTGACAGTCATCCACGTTCGGGCGGTAATACATCAGAGCTTGCTGGAGACAGACGTCGCTGCCAAATCTCTCATCATATCCAATTGTCCATGCTAAGTACAGTTAGTTTTTACTTATTAAGGCTAACAACGTTATTAGGGGATTTTCCATTCTCTTGGGAAACACAATACTGAATGCCACTGGGAAAAAGCAATACATACATACGATCACAATAAACCTTGTGCATGTCCTCCGGGGGAATACCAATAATCCCACATTGCTCGATAATCTTTGGATCCTTCCTCGCCAACGGTTCCACTGCATTTAAATCCTCCATTGTGATTAACGGCTGGACACCTTCCACATGTTTCCATTGCAAAGTTTCCTATCCGTCAAGTCGACGATACCATCATACACCTTTCCGCTGGGTGCAATGGCAACAACATCCGCTGCACGATGTGGGCGAGGAGCGGTTTTCGGATTAGCTAGCCAAGCCATCATTTCAACCTTTCTCGGCTCCCACAGCGTGACAGCGTTGAATCTAAGCGAACCATCGTGTTCAGTGCAGATTATGGCGACCGCTGCATCGATCTCCAACGTGGAAAGGGGGTCAAAAGGGTGAGGGGGAGGAGAGGAGGAAGTCACCTGGTGGCCCAGTTGCTTCAGACGGTCAAGAGCCATTGTCATGAAATGATCAAGTGGAGCTTGATTGGGGATGAAGCAAGAGAGGAGAAGGTGGTAAATTGATCGGGACATAGATCGGGTATTCCTGGCTGAGGGGTAGATACTAGGTTATATACAATCGAGAAATAAGGGGAAATTGGAACTCTCGACAGCTCGCCATAACTGGTGAGCCCAGTCCCGTATTATCCATGTTGGGGTCCTTCATGATAAGGGAGTTCCGCAGGGCACGGTGGCGGGCCAGTTTCTTATTGGAGGAGTATCACGGTGTAACGAAGAAGAGCTAGATGAAGAAATGCGAGTTAACGATCAAGTCAACACTTTTCCTAGACTAGAGAATGCTAGAGATAGCTAACTAGGTCAAGCTCCCTGCTCTGAGCACCGTGCACCCTCCTACCATAAAACAACCAAGACTGCTTAAAGAATCACAGTATCTCGCCAACCCTGTCACTGGTAGGGCTAAGGAGTCGAGGTTGATAAAGACTGTACTGTAAGAGGGATAATTGTCCTCATTGGGCCTAGCGTAAGTCGTTCGATTCAGGAATCTTAACCCGAGCCTACTTATTTAAGGCATCCTTGTCTCGAATTCCCGCATCCGCGAGAGTTAGGCTTGTATGTATGAAATGGACAGCCGTTGTTGGCAGGGGAGGGAGGCGAAAACGAGGTGAGAGTGATATCGGAGTTGTCCGAATGTAAATATATCAGGGGTTGAAAATCATTTCCAAAATTCTCAATTCATGAAGTGCTGCTGGGCATTAGGGAGAATAGGAAGGGGGAAATTCATGGGGCATTGGATATTGTTCCAAAAGGATAACTGCATGCCATGATCAGGATAGGAGAAATTAATCAATCCGAGTAGTCAAAGAGAATAAGAATAAAACGGTAATCGCAAATGAATTGTGAACTCCCAAATACAAAGCTAAAATCACAAGCCAGCTATAACGCCAGACACACTATACACATCCAAACAGAGAGCAGACAATCAAAACAACCAGTAGCCACTAAATATAGATGTGAAAACCACATACCATGCGAAAAGAAAGAAACGAATTCCCAGTCCCTGAACCGTCCCAACCGTAGAAGTTACCCATTTTTTCATCCTTACTGAAAATATAGGGAAAAGACTTTTCTCGTAGTCTATCTAAATCACGACTTTCCAAATTGGAAGGTACCGAACACTCCTCCTCCGCCGCCTGGAGTTAATGGACCAACGCTAGCATGTTGCGTTTGAGCTGCGGGTGTTTGCGCATTTGTTAGCCCCGCGTGGCCTGTATTTGGTGTACTTGGCGTACCTGCATTGGAGTAGACTGTAGCTCCGTTGAGATTGGGTGTTTGCTGAGCCTGACTGGCACCGTGGTAAGGCGTGGCGGTTATCTGCCCGTTCAAGCCCCAGATCTGGCCCGAGTATTTCTCTTCATCAATCGAACCATTGAATACCAGCTGACGCATTTTCCAGAATATTTCGCCGGTCACTAGTGAGTCTGATCCAGCTTGATGTGCAATACCAACCCGCTTCACCCCTAGTTCGTCCGCAATATCCTGGAGGCCAGACTTCTGACCAAGATTTGCAATGATCTGAGCTGCGCTTTGGGTGAGTGGGGATCCGTTGACGGTTTGGTTGCGACCGGCGTGCTTCATGAGATATTTGATATCGTAGACGGATGGGAAGAAGATGGTGAGGAGTTTGTGGAATTCCTTCTCGTCGTCAGGTAAAGGTTTGCACAGCATAATCTTCATCAAATACCCGAAATCATAGCCTGAATGGAACGAAATCCAATGTACGTCATCCATGAGAACCAATCCAGACGTCATCAGAAGCGCACCAAAATCATGTGGATCAATGCCATTCTTTTCATGCATGGCGAAGTCAATGCCGGCCTTCGCTAGCATGCTTGTAGACTCCTGCGCATACATGTCACCTTCCAATGAGAATTGGAAGTTGAATTGCCAAGTGCAGGGCGCTGGACCGAGATTTGCCGCGTATTGGGCATTAGAATCTAGTGGTATGGCGGGAGGAACTTCACCACTTTCCGAAAATAGCGTTATTCCCAATTGTATCATTTTCAGAAGGTCAACATTACATCGTAATGTTTGGTAATGATAATCGGCTTTTGTAGTGAAACTACCCATCGGCCGCGCGACAATACCAGGGAATTCAGTATCCTAAGTAAAGAAGGCATGTTAGCCCGACCGAATTTACGACACATATATATGAAGAATATCGTGAGGGCCTCTAGCAAAAGATACAACTCACCATGCTAATGTAAGGATATTTATCCACTAACGACCTTAGAACCTGCATCTCCTGTGCCAAGTTGTGTTTCCAGACGTCTCGTATCCTTGAGTTTGTACCAGCACTTTTTCCATCCACGGATAAGCGGTTGTCATGACCCAAATGCGCCTGTTGCTGCTGCTGTTGCTGCTGCTGCTGTTGCTGTATCTGCGCACCCCTCACAAACCCCATCTGTGCTGCGTGACTCGCTAGACCCGTCCCTCCTCCATCAGGGATACCAGCGGTAGAAGGGCCCGCGGGGAACCCCACCACGCCCATCCCATTAGCTCCAGGAATGGCGAATGGGTTTATGTTTGAATTTGTACTCGCAGGACCAAAGCCAGGGTGGCCGCCTAGGGAAGGTGGGGGAAGCCCCGTATTGGGAGTCTGTGCATGAGTTGCGTGGTGCTGTTGCGAATGCTGCTGTTGTTGGAGGTGGCTCTGAGGGAGATGGGGGAATGGGCCAGCAAGTCCTGAGGGCGCGTATCTACCGACGGGCGGCGGCATAGTGTGTTTTACGATGTCGGCCGATGACGGGAGGAATCGAAGTCGAGCAAAGCATGAAGATGCCTGCTTGGGCTAGTTTCCACACAAAAATTGATAGCTAGGAGGTTGGTTGGACGGTTATCACCCACGAGTCACCTGGTTGGGTGGAGTGGGGGTGTTTGATATCTGCGAAGCTATAGACGAGGCTGCTGAGTATTTTTCTGAAGGGAAACAGATAATGCAGGGAGAGATATGAGGCGGCGAAATGGCTTTGCTGGGGGATTTATGTGTGCTATCTGTATAATCCTCCGCGTGGTTCATCGCTTTGTCTTCTCGTTCGAAGCGGGCGCCAAGACTTTCACCAGCTCCGGGTAACTAGTGGTTCAGCAGACTAACTACATATGGCTAGCGGGGGTTGGTCCCTCGATCAACTTTCCCGACTGAACATTCAAGCATATAGCATATAACGCCCACAATTCATCCGCATCACAGCTTATGAACTCCCTGTGAAGGAGGCTTTGGATCAATTGAGAAGCATATTCTGCTACTGTTGAGCCTAATTAACCCCGATCTCCGTCGATCACTTTTCCGAATCCCTACTGCCGATTCTGGAACATCCAACCCAAACATGGCTCGCGTAAACCCCACCGGCTTCGACATGAAGACCTTCAAAGCCGCCGCACATCCCCGATCTTCCTGGGCAAAGAAGGATCCATGGGCGCGATAGTAAGCTCTCAATTAATTCCCATGTGCCAATCCGCAATGTACTTTCTTGGTAGAACAGACGCGGGAGGGATATTTATCCAAGGATGCATTTCACGCAAAAGCTGACTCTTTCCCGACAAAAAAACAGCGAAGCATGGCGATACACAGGTCCATTTTCGCGGTGGAACCGATTTAAAACTGGATTTCCTGGACTGGGAATAGCCACCGTTGCGTTTGCTGCATACTGTGGCTACGAATGGGCGTTCCTCACCCCCAAGCATCAGGAGGAAGGTCACCATTAGAGCCATCCATCCAACTTTGCTACTTTCGAATTAATACCAATTTATACGAACGAGGTTTGAGCCGCAGCGTTTGCTGGCGGGAAGGGTTGTTAATGTTACGGTATCCCTCGAAGGCTGCCGACGGTACGCCGTCCCCGCATAATAGTCCTTTCGCATATACTTCTCGCACGATGGGCTTTTATGAAGGATTGGGGGTTGAATTCGTACGCGGAGATGGAGAAATCTGAGATTCCGTGAAGGAAAAAATCTGTTTGACATGTACATACATACATAGATACATTTGGGAAGAGGCGCTATGGTTTTATTTTCCTTGTCAATTTTCAATGGTTTTTACCACATACTTCTACCTATTTTATTTAGCACAAAAGAAGTTTGGGAGGGAGCTTCGTCGGTGACAAGGCCTTATTTTTATTTTTATTTTATTTTATTTTTTCCCTACTGGTGTGATACCGTATTCTTAAAGGTTTAGCCTTCCTTCGGAGCATAGGGTTACAAAAAGCATGAATCGCCCACCCAGCCTCTAGTCAAGTTGCCCATTTGCTTTCTTCCTTTATAGCTCACAGGAGACATGTAGGCAACATGCGGATGGCGGTGGGTTTGCAAATAACGACAAGCCATGTTCTCGGAATTCGATTCCAGCCCTACAATCGGGAAATTCGAAGAATGAGATACAAACAGTACCATTAATCATAAAGCAACCGGATTCATTTTTTTTTCTATGTTAATGACGGAGCTCTAGATTAGTAAACATTTGCATACTTCCTGGTTTAAATTACTTATAAAAAAGCCTGGTCCTATTTATTCCTCAAAAACTAAGGCGACCCCATCATCCCCTGCTGTGACAATCCTCTTACCATCCTCTCCGCCCTGTACAAACCCCAAGATCCCACCAGATTGCTCTCCCGCCTCATTCTCAGCCATGCCCAAATGGCCCCGCCATTCCTTCACCAGGCCATACCCCGCAGCAACAGTGCCACCACGCGTATCCCACCGACGAACTACTCCATCCATGCCTACCGACGTAAGTAGCCATGATCTACTATTGCTCGTAGCAGCAGATACTGTTTGTCGGCCAGCCACTGCCTTGTCATGGATAAATTCAACTTTTACAACAGCCGTCTCCTCGTGGGCAGATCGTATATGTCGTCGTACAGCAAAGCGGTGGGCTGTGTCGAATAGGGCAATGGATCCATCGACGGAGCCGGCTGCAAGGAGCGTCAGGGGCGGGGAGGAAAATGATAATGATTCAACGCCGTCAGTTTGAGCCTGTAGAGATGCAAGGAGAGTACCGGCGCCACTACCCTCAGCAGCTTTCGATTTCGATTTCGACTTGTTCACTCCAGCAGCAGTTGATGATGGGATTCGGGGCAACCCAACAACTTTGATATGTCCCTCTGCGCCACCGACTGCAGCAAAAGCGCCCGTAGGCGCTATGGCGATGGAATATAATCCACCCTCAACGGCAAATCGTTGATCTTGAGCTGTTAGACCCACGATTACCTGTGTTCCAGAGGAGGAGGTCACTCCCGCCGCCGTAGCAGCGCCAAAGACGTCGTAGACGTAAAAGCACGCGTCTTCCCCAACCGTCGCCAGGAGCATCCCATCAGGCGTCCATGCACCCGCTGTACAGGATTCCGTATGCTGGAAATAACAAGCCACCATAGACATTGGCTCCGCCTCGTCCTGCGCGTCGATGCGGTATACCCATACGCTTCCATTACTGGCGCCAAGGGCAATGAGATTTTTCTTTTCCTCACCCCCACCAGCCCCATTCACTGGGCACGTAGCGACCCAATTTATCTCCTCCACCTCCTGGGCCTCTGCGAGAAGTTTCCATGATAGCCCGGTTTTACCGGGACTTGTATCACGCCATGCGCGGAGCTTCCCGTCCAACCCTGCAGTTACAACATACTCCCCCCGCGGCTCCGTGAAAGCTACAGCGTTCACTGAATCCGTATGTCCGTCCAAATGTGCGATGGCAGGCAACGGCTCGCGTTCGCCCTTAGGTTGCGGATTCGACTCGTAGCTCCTAGGAAGCAGCGGTCTCTCCGCAGCGGAGTTGAATATGAAGGCAGTATCGTCGCCCGAGCCTGTGATTATGATATTAGGGTGGATGGGGTGTTGAGCTATGCAGAAGATAGAGTCTTTATGCTGATCGAAATGGGCGATAGAGTCGTTTTGGAATGTCAGTTCTTCTCCGTCATCGCCGTCTTCCGAGACGTCCTCCATCGGTTGGTCCTCGTCAGCGGGGATTTCTTCGGCGGCGTCTGCAGCATCGAGGAAGAGGTCATCCTCATTTTCATTGTCGGTGTTCTCTCTGGGATGTGAAAATTGAGAGGCGGACATTTTGGAATTTGTTTAAAAATGGGCAAGTTTGGAGGGGTTGTAATCGGGAAAGGAGGGGGGAATGGAGGGGTATGGAAAGTTGATTAGGTCTGATATCTGATATTAGGGGAATAGGGCTTCGATTGACATGGAATTAAAGGTTTGCGGCGATCCCAGGTTCGCAAGCTATTATCGCATAGATCCAGGTATATATAGAGCGCCCTTTCTATAATATTCATGATCGAAAGAAGCCAGCAGTAATCGGCGCGCAAAAAAAAAAAAAAAAAATGGCTATTGCTGGCTTAGAAATACAAACTATGGGGCCAGAGATTGATTAGGGCACGCTCGAACATGTGATTGGCTGGATTGTCGCTCAACTGACGTTGCGCATACACCACTTGTATATAATAAATTGCACATTCATCATGATATCTGTTTGTAGTCTCCGTTATATATATTTAATGAATCATGTCGCGAATGTCAGACACTCTCATCACGCTCAACTCCTCATCGCCTTTTGAGATGCTACTTCAAGGGATTCAACCGAGCCTTCATGCCGATGCGGTTCTAGTCATCATTTATACCTTGCAGCATTGATGAATATTATCCTACAGGCAACAGATTGTTCTGGCCCCATGTGAAACTATGGCCATTTCACCCAATGTATCTTTCAGTTATACGCAACCATTATGACCCAAGAAACGTGTAGTGTAGGTTATTGATAGTTTAATTAGATGCCACCGCTTCTATTCACCTGTATGAATTAAGATTCCGAAACGGCTAGCAAGTGGCCCTTGGCCAGGATTGCGTTTGCGGACTATGAAGCGAAATTACATGGGAAGCAGAGAAAATATTGATTGATCGATAAAAAGGAAATCAGATCTCATGTTTATTTCTGCCCAGTCTGGCCGTCGACGAGGGGGTGAAATAACGATATTTAGTACCACCAGGAATGGTGGCTGGATAGGATATATTTCGAGCGCGTGCAACCATTATTCTTGCCGCGTCTGCAGCTTCTCTTCAATCCCCAGCTCCGGCCCTAACCTCTCGTACCAATCGTCACTTTTATGTGGTTGGAATGTTGGCTTGTTCCATCCAAACGTTTATGCCAGGGAACGTATTCCTTCCCGGCTCTGCAATGCTTGTCTGGCCCGCTCACATAACTGTGCAATTTTCTGGGAATTCGGCGGGCGTATCTTTCCCCTTTAAGCGTTACTTCCCCGGCATCTCTTCTGTTGGGTGCTTGAACATCCTAGGGCTTAGCCTATTGCCTTCCAGGGAGGAATGGTAGTTCAGGGCGCTTCTTCTCCGCGTTCTCTAGCCGTCCGTCCGTAAGGCGGGAAATGTAAGTATGTCCTCTTATTGTAGCCAAACGTGTCTTCACATTGTGCCCTCAGTATCGCGTTCGCTCCGTTCTGGTACCCGAGTCACGGTCCCTGCTGCTTGAGATATTTCGTCGCTTCGGTGTCATTATCAAACCGGAAGGAAATCATTGCTCCACCGCCTTCTAATTGCACAAACTTTTCTCGACCACCACGGCAAGTACGACTGCCAATGGGTCTGCCTCTCTTCCGCTCTGGCCCCGTGGTAATCGCCTGCAGTGGTAGCCGGCCATGATTATGCGAAGGGTTGGATACATCTACATGCCAGACCCCCATTTTCAGCAGTAGACTCAGCCGAAAGGGACATGCTATTTTGCGCGATTTCACAGCAGGTTGTTTTGATTTCGTTCCTTTTCTAACCCCTTTGTTTTCTAGTGGTATAGGGGCGCCATTTTCGGGATCCTTGTAAAATTTCCTAATCCCGTCGCAAATCAGATGGATAGAGTGATCCTTGGAATCGGGTTGCTTGCGACGCGGAGGGACTATCCTATATCCGCTTGCGATGGCCCAAGTCTCGATGTACGTCGTAGCAATCTCAAGGTTTTCGAACGTCCGGGGCGGAGGGGGTGGCAGTGTCTGACACTGGCATTCCAGTTGAGGTTGAAGTTGAAGTTGAAATTCAGGTTGACTTTGGGATAGCTGTGTTGGCTGAGGTAATGACTGACGGGCAGTTGAATTATTATCGTCATTATCTGTATCACGATTAGAAATTACTTCATGAAAAGTACGTGCTCTTGGGCGTTTTTGGATTGGCTCCGCAGAATCATCGATATCCCGCATGTTATTCCGGCAGTTCGTGTTGGCATATGTCGCATCAGGATGGCTCCCGGCGTTGGGGATAGAGGTCATATTTTCTAGCCTTTCGCCATTGAATGAACGTTTGCAGTTGGAAATGCATGGCTGGACGAGGCTGCGGAGTCGGATGAGAAATGCATTTGCTCCTTCGAGCTTGACTGTATCCGTCATAGCTTACATGTGCAGCGCTGGCGGGTACAATTGCCTAATTTAGTTAGTAGCGCCAACCAGGGATCCGGCCGTCATGAGCTCAAACGGATGGGGGCTATTATCAGGGTTAATTCTTCTATGATGTATGGAGCACATTACATTGCATACACACAGGAATTGCTAATCCAATGCCTCCCAGTGATTTACTCGGTTGTGTCAATGAAGTATAAAAATATCTAAAATTGCGGGTTTATAATCGTTATACAGTTTAAATATAATATCATGTAGCATATATAGTTCCAGGCGCCCTTCCAGAAGATCTGGTACCTAGCCCTTATATAGACAATAGGGCAAACAAAGAAGAAAGCCAGGAAGCAAAATAGGTTTACAATTTCACTCCAGCCTTCCGCCTCGCCTCCTTTTCCCTGTCCCTCAATAACCGCCTCAGAATCTTCCCGCTAGGGCTTTTGGGTATAACATCGATAAACTCTACACCTCCCTTCAGCCATTTATGGCGTGCTTTGTGGTCTTCGACATACTTCTGAATTGATCTGATGGTAGCCACATCATCAGTACCCGCAGCAGGAGATTTGACAACGAATGCCTTTGGTAGCTCTCCTGCCGCATAGTCTGGGACGGGGATTACGGAGCAATCGGCAACAGCTGGATGGGAGAGGAGATGTGATTCCAGCTCAGCCGGGGCGACTTGTAGACCCTGTCGTGACGTTAGGGCAAATTCAATCAAGCTTTTGGTATATAAGGTAGGATATTAACACACCTTCACTTTAATGAGTTCCTTTATGCGGTCGACAATAAAGACGTGCTCGTTACCACGGGGCGAGAGGCGAAAAACGGCTTCATCGCCCGTATACATCCAGCCGTCCCTATACGTTTCCTTGGTCGCCTTTTCATTGTTCAAGTAACCGATCGTGACAGATGGAGAGCGAACGACGAGCTCGCCTGGCTGGTCATAGCCGGTTATCTCCTTGCCATCGGGAGATACAAGGCGTACTTCGACGCCTGGAAGCAATGACCCAGAGGAGCCGGGGAAGATATCGTCGTTGCTCGTGCTGGATACGACAGTGCATGTCTCAGTGAGGCCTAGACCCACATCAGCATTTGAACCAACCGTTTTACAAATGGCGAACTTGAACTGTTAAAACGGATTGCACGAATGATAACCTACCATAGCCCTGTTTAATCTTCCAGGAAGGTTTCCACACTCCAACCTCTTCTGCCGTTTCAGCGCCAAGTGGAGCAGCTCCAGTGAAGATCGTAGTAACAGAATCGAGGCCACTCCTGTCGCATTCCACTTTATTTCGCAACATAAGGATAATGATCGGAGGAACCTAGGAGACTAAATATTAGCAGTCCGGGCCAGGGAATAGTTGGTTGCTGGGGCAGAGAAATTTTTTAAAGATAAAATGTACCAGGTAGAGGGTTGAGATTCGATGCTTTTCAATAGCATTGAGGTATACGTTAAATTCAAATTTCGGGAGGACGACCACTTTATCGCCACGGTAAGGGCCAGCATGACAAATAACCACCAGCGAATATATATGGCTTTGGGGCAGAAGGCCTAGAGCCACATCTTTGGGGTCCAATCGGGCTCCAGGGGCTTTCAAGCTGTCGCGATGTCGCGACTCATACGCCTTAATTTGCAACGTATTGGCGATCACATTTCTATGAGATATCATTACGCCTTTCGGCAATCCGGAGGTTCCTGAAGAGTAGCAAAGGAACGCAGTTTGCTTTGCACCCTGCCCTGGCTGCCAGTTAAGCTTCTCCACCTCTGGTAATGAGTGACCTTCTTTAATGAGCTGGTCCACCGTTTTGAATCCGTCTGGCTTATTCCCACCACCTAAAAGCTGAGGCGGCAGATCAAGAAGATAAATGCGGCTTTTGGGGATGCCAACATTGGATGCAGCCTCTAGAGCAATGGGAAGAGTTACGACGCATGTGAAAATGGACTTCGATCCGCTGTCCTTGAGTTGGTGGGTGAGTTCAGGGGCAGAATAGGTCGCATTCGCAGGAGAAGCAACGCCGGAGCATCGATGGATGGCCCAGCAGAGAGTCAGGTAGTCGATCTACAGGTAGGGTGGTTATTAGCTTGAATCGTGGTACTTTGACAATGTAGCCAAACTTAACGAAGTAGAATAACTAGCTAGCTGCAGACAATGTATTCTTGCTGACCAGAAATAAGCCCTTCACGGGTACATACCGTGTTCACACTGAAGATACAAGCCACCCGGTTGCTCTCTGGCCCTTCATTCGGACGCCAGCCAAGTTCCTTGCACAAGGAGCGCGCGAGAACATCCACGCGCTCTACAACTTCCGGGGCAGAGTAGGACTTTCCGCTCAGGCCACAAACGAAGGGATCATAAGAGTCTCGCAATGGATAGCGGCCATGGCGTTCAGTAAGCATGAACTCAGAAATCGGGGTGCTATCTGGGATGTTCGGGGCTGGCCCAACCCATTTTGGAGGTGTGAAGACCATCCCACCAAAGTTATGTCCGAAGACGCAGACAAAGATAAAGAAGCGGAAGGCAAGACTGAAATGGTTCCTCAATGCCGGCTGTCGTGGTTGGAAGCTGGAGAAGAAGAAGGGGAAGAAGGAGAGGAAGAGGAAAACAGAGAGAAAGAAGACGAAGAGAAGCGCAGGCGGGAGAAAAACGTGTCATGTGGGGAGGGTACCTAGGGGCGGCGTCTATTTCGAGTCGGCGTCCATCGGCTCGGCCAAACTGCAATCGTGCTCGTGAAGTTGCCAAACCTTCCCTGTATTTCGCAGGTCGGTTTTTAGTTAGACGGAGCATTTTCCATTATGTCCGTGGGCAAACCAGACCCATCCTGTCTTCGGCACGTTTAAGCATCCGTGAAGCGTTCTTTTTATTCATCACTCACATTATTACTACTACTTAATGCAGCGTAGTATCCCTTGGGCTAGGTATAGGTTAGTTATAGGACTGATAGAAACGCCAGGGTTCCGAGGCAGCTCCTCGGTTAATGGCCTCCCCACTACTCTGATGGCAGCGATGGTTAGTTTCAAGTAGTTAGCGCGAGTAGTCTCGTCTCAAAATATGGGGGGCCAGCCTGCAATCCCGGCTTGAACAACAAATAATCTTCAGTTGGGAGAGCTTTGTCCTGAGAACCGGATCACCGGATTGCAAAACCCTCTGAGCCTTTTTAAAACATAAAGAACCGTCGACTCTTCCAAGCTCTACGTTATGGATGTTGAATTTCCCGCAGCGGATATGTAATGTACAGATAGATAAATTGGTGCCGTTTGTGAGCCGTAGAAAAATAAATTCCCTAGTGAGCCGGCAAGAAAAATTATTGCAACGCAATAATAATAATAATAATAACTGATCATATGCCGCGAATAGTTCCTGTCACCGGTACCCGATTGCGGCATCAGAGCCGACTGGCAAGAAAGTTGGAGGATACCAAACTGTTGAGGAATTATTGCGGCTGACTACATGGAACAAAGTGCCTAGGTTCTTCGGCTATGGAAGCGGGAAAAATAACGATACAGTCCAGCTACCGACAATTCTCCGATTTCTAAGAGGTACCCGCAACTCTACCAGTTAAGTACTCTCATAAAAGCCTCGCTGTGATGAAAATTTCTCCCTTCTAGCAAAGGGACAATATATATTCTACATTTCTACCCAGGCCTACAACCAAGGGGAGAGGATGGGCAGAGCGTTCAATGCTATGGCCTGGCTCTCTCGGCTAGTCAACTATTAACCGAACAACGAAAGCGAGCTTGTCTACTCCGTAAAGAAAGATTGAGATAGCGAGATGTGATGCTAATTCGAAATTTCTTGCTCCTACTCATCTCTTGGAGTTGCAACGCGGAAGAGATACCGAACATGAGAAGGACGGGATTTCATGGCAGGGCCATACATGATACATGCCCGTAAGCTGATAGGACGGATTCTAACATATACTAAAAGTGTAATAATAATATCTCCTGATGTTTGTCATTTGGAACTGGGAGAACTGAATTTCATTTTCGACCTTGAGTAACAATCACTTGACAGGTCAAATTGCTATTGAATGTTAATGAAATAATTGATTAACAATTGGTACATGTATATCTCCTGACTAATTTCTACATCTTCTCGTTTTAAAATTCTTTCAGTTGGAATGTCTTTTTGACTGCTTGATCATCAATTGCTGGTTTGGATGTTCAAAAACTCAGTGACGTGCACTCTAGCATAAAAAATATGTCGTTTGCGGACCCAATGGGTAGATATGTCCTTACATTTCTGTTGAAAATCCAACATTCCGGGGAATTGTTCGTTCGCCAAGATATAACTAATTGCCAAGCCTTTTTAATCCCTGTTCAATATCAAACCTTAAACCAAACTTACCAGAACTTTAAAGTTCGCGGCCAATCACACCTTGAAGGTGCTTCGGAAAGGATATTTTACCTGAAGAACCTAATAAATTGAATATACACTTCAGGGGTGGATTTATACTCTCTCGGCATCGTTGCGGCCCGCCGCCGACTTCATTGAGATGACGATATTATCACCATAAGGTTTTATCTCAATATTCCTAGTTCTACCATCCCAAAATCCTGCCCTCACCAGTATTCTTTTCCAACATCAACTATCGACATACTGCGATATCCTACCCGTCGTTTAGCACTAATCGCAACTTCTCACGTTATATGTTATTGATATATTTATCCCGCCCGCTTTTTTTACTTAGATATTTCTTCTGCATGTCTAGCTCTCGCACTTTAATCATCATCATCATGAAGCTCATTTTGTCAAGTCTGTCTTTTGGGGAAATCTTGCTAGACCTAGAGGATGGCTTTCCTGTGTTCTCTCTGATTGTCCTGGTTTTACTAATCCTTAAGTTAATCGGCGTCTGCTGAGCTCGACTAGGCTTCTATGTTCTAGATTAGTCGTGCCAAATACTTAGAGAATATTGTCTTAGTCTGATCAGCTACTTTCCATTGACGTGAAGACTATTGCGAACAAGCTTAGTCCTTGGTATTATTGTGAGTCGCTTTTTGATTGACGTTCCACTGAAGGCAACACTGTATAATGTTCACACATTCATATACGCATACTTTGATATATTCTCAAATTTGAAAAGATGGTTTTGGTTTAGAGTGGAGATTCCATTAACAAATATTTATTGTACTTTCTAACAATTTTTTTAGGTATATTTTGGTTGTCTGTTTGCCAGATATTTCCGTCCTCTAGACACCTGCTCCTCCTATCATGCTGCTGCAGCCGGCTTCGGGCGGAGAATTATATTTTGTTTATCACTGTCACCGCAAACTTGAGCATCGGATTGAAGGCTTGCAACGTGACTGGCTGATCTGTCGTTCAGGAGTACACTCGCCCAACTTCTGGATTATTTTCCACTTTACATTTCCGTGCTCATCGTCTAACAACACCACAGAACGCAGCCCACTTTCCATTTCATCTTTCCCTTCATCAGCCTCAGCTTCCATAGACCGCTGTCGGGACTAGGCTTCATCCTGATTACCATTACATCCCAGAATATTTCGGCAAGGCGAACGTGGAGCTTTCGCGTCACGAGGGTTGAAAGAAGGGGCCACCTAACAAACCAAATGAGGTTATCATTCAAGGTTTAGCAAGGAAGCGCCGCGCATACACCTGGGAAATTCGGAGATTTTCTAGACCTACTGTAGCTAAATTGCTCTTTGTGGATGTCGGAGAGCTGAGCGCGGCTGCCAGGAGGGGAAGAAGGGTCAACAGGTATTTCATTTTTGCGGGCTTGTAAAATAAGAGATGAAAGGTACAACTCCGAATGGTCGTCGAATGCTCTATCCGCTTCGATTCAATGTTAATGAGTTTGGGCCGACCGGGTCTGTTCTGTTGTGGCTCCTTGAAGCTTCCTCAGCGGTGGAATTGAAGCTTTATATACCCTCTCCTTCATCGAGTCTGTTATACTTGGACTGAACCTTCACCGACCTTCTTCTTTTGTTGTGTGATGAAATGATGTACTCGCAGGTGAGAAGACTACATATTCATGTAGATATGCTTGAGACAGTCCCACCTGAGATTGCATATGTTGTGTTCGAAACGCTCTAATTTCCCACGTGTCGTCAACTATCTTTGGTGGTGTCTTGTTACACTGACCGATTTCCCTGGCACACCATGGAATTATCGCATCTTTTATTGTTATTAATGTAATAGTTGTTCTTTGAATTGATCTCATAATTCGCCACTGCAATCCATGCTCGAAGGTGATTATTTATTTGCTAAACACATTGACACAAGTAGAGCAACAAGAGCACTTCCTTCAATAGCTAGATCATGGACATTAAATATAAAGGTGTCACAGGCTACCAGGGTAGAGGACTGGTGAATTAATAATACATGTAACTATAGAGCGTCGGTAGATTCTTTATGCTACAATGTAACTTAACACATGATAAATGTGATGAACTGAGCCAGCAGCCATGACCACCAAATGAGCGGGGAGTTAAGCAAGGTCGTGAATGCCTAGAATATATGAATGTTTTTTTGGACACCCTTATCTTAAAATCCAGTCACCACCGGAGGGGGGGCTCTATATGCCTGTCTATAGCTATGTAGAGACCATATAAACGAAGGGGTAGAAGCTCATGTTATGCTGTTGCCTCACCTTTCGCTCCGCAAGCGGGTGACACCATTAGACTCTAGAGATGAGGGCATCATCTTGCCATGGCGTTGGTGTATTTTAAAAAGATGTTGTGGTAGATCAAAACGACGGGCAATGATCTAAAATTGCGAAAACGTTGATACCATCGCAACCCTAGAGATTGGGGTTGAACTATAGGACAAAGCCGTCCTACGGGCAGTCTCATATACCTAAAAATTTGCACAGTCGCGCTTCGGCAGATTGTCGACGTCGCGAATGTGTCGTGGATGGGAGGAATCTAGCGCACTCTAGAACAACGCAGGTGTCTTCAATGGTGGGTAATCTACTTTCCCAAGTGATGAGGAAACAGCTAAATAAAGTAGAAACAAAAGTTGTCATTCGTAAGTCATACTTCCAGAATGTAACGTGTTAATGGGCACCCGTGTATCTAGCGCCAAGATACCTAATATATGAAAGTCAATAGCTGAAATGTAATCTCCCGCATCATTTTGAAAGGTAAAACATAATCAATCATAAAATAAATAACCTTGATGCTCAAAACTACTTGGTCAACGGGAATGTGAGGGAAGAAAAGCCATCAGAAACATAAATCGGCGTAAGAAGAGAAGTAAATAATGGAGAAGAACCAAAATGGATGTATAGAAATTGAAGTCGTGGAAGAAACAATGTACAATGAGATTTGGAAGAAATGCAAAAGATGAAGGATTGGAGGCATAAAACAAGGAAAGAAAAAAGGAAAACAATTGGGGAATAGGGAATAAAAACGGAAGAAAAGAAAATCATCGTTGTGAAAAATGGGGAACATTAGAGAAATATGAAAGAGAAGGTAGCAAAACAGATTATAAAATCATCCATCATAAATCCAAAATGAAGAAGTAAAAAGATTGAACCTCTAGAGCAGGTAAAGCGAGAATAAAGTCGAAAAGGGTCAACAGAAAGTCAAAAGAGAGATATAAAAGGTATAGCCGGAAAATCAAAAAAATAAGAGATGAAAGTCGGACACGGTATCATTCCTTTAACCCTTGATTTTCTAGTAGCTCCACTACGATCTGACTGCGTTCGTGTTCGGGGTGCTGCATACAAATCTTAACAGTCCGACCCGCGGTTGAAAGTGCTGTCGAGAGACCTAGACCATTCTGTCCACTCAGTGGATTTACCGCGGCCGCCTCGTTAAAATTGGCTGGCGAAGGGTTGCCAAAGCCGCTAGACCCGTTCCCAGCGTCGTCAAGGAGGGTTACATTACGACCGGCAATGACTTGTCTAAGTCGCCCGTTCACAGCGTTGCGCACTTCGACAAAATCTTCGTTGACAAGTATGAGGAATTTTCCGTAAAGACATGCTGATACGGCGCGGCCGAGGAATTGCATAATTACTGCACGGTTAACGTCTCCATATTTGTCGACGTAGACAGCGCAATCAACAAAGACCACGAGGAAGTCTCTGTCGCTGAGGCGAAACATGCCCAAAGGTCGGAGATTGTTAATTCGGTTGCCGATTTGGTTGAGGGCTGGCTGGTGTTCTGGCGAGCTGGCGCGAAGGTTTGGAACAGACCAAGGCTGCTTCTTGTCCAGAGTGAGTACCTCGACGCCACGGGATGTCGAAATGGCGAGAGATGAATGGAAAAGATTGATACTATAGCTGTCTGCTGGGATATAGAACTCGTCATAGTCGCGGAAAAACTCGGTATGGCCGCGGCGCGTAGGCATGAATCGCGGGCGTGACGAGGAGGATTTCTGTAGAATGGGTTCCAGAGCCTACACAGAAAGTTTCAGTGATTAGCGAACAAGTTTAT